TGAAACTTAACTGATAAATGATCCCTGTTAAATATAAGAGTGGGAATAAGAGAGGGAAGAGATGTACAATTTGGGACATGCTCAAGCTGACTTGCCCCAAATGGTAGAGTTAGAAACATACCAGGGGATTCCAGTTCAATCCCATCAAGATGGCATGTACCAATGCCATCTCACTAGTCCAAGTGATCAATTTCTGTTCACAATTGATCATAATGATAGGACTAAGAGTCAAAGGCATCACATAAACAAGTCTAGTGTCTGCTAATACTAACTGATAGAATAAAAAAGGGAGAGAACGATCCAACATGGGAAGCGGGATACACAGCAGACTCATAGAAGGGCAGATGTCCTAAACAGCACTCTGGCCTCAGAACCAGGCCTTAAAGCATTCGGATATGGCTGAAGAGCCCATGAGAGTATTATAGGCATGGAAAGCCAAGACACTCTGGCAAAAAACAAACAAACAAACAAACAAACAAAACAAAACAAAACCACACAAAACCTAAATGAAAGATCTCTGCTAGCGAGATCCCAGTGGAAAGAAAGGGGCCATCAAAGAAGGAGGTACCTTTCTCTGAAGGGAGGAGAGAATGTCCACTTTGACTATGACCCTGTCGGAATAAGATTGAAGTCGGCGAACTCAAAAGGCTTCCATAGCCTTGGCAACTCATGACAAGAGCCTAGGGTGATTACTGATTCCATAAACAAAAGTGTCAATTTGTTAAGTCAATAACAGGAGTCACTGTGCACTTAATCCTCATGTAGGATCTCTGTCCTTAATGTGCTGTACAGTGTGATTTAATGCTATAACTAGTACTCAAACAGTATTTTTCACTTTGTGTTTCTATGTGGGTGCAAACTGTTGAAATCTTTACTTAATATATACTAAACTGATCTTCTGTATATAAGGAGAATTGAAAATGAATCTTGATGTGAATGGAAGGGGAGAGGGAGCGGGAGATGGGAGGGGTGCGGGTGGGAGAGAAGATATGGGGGGGAAGCCATTGTAATCCATAAGCTGTACTTCGGAAATTTATATTCATTAAATAAAAGTTAAAAAAAAGACATATTACAGCACATTTATAATCAAAACAGCTTGGTACTGTCATAAGAATAGACACATCAACCAATGGAACAGACTAGCAACACCTAAAATTAATCCATATATCTTCAACCAACTAATCTTTGACAAATGAGATAAAATCACTCTCTGGAGAAAAGACAGTGTCTTCAATAAATGGTGTTGGGATAACTGGATCTCTACGTGCAGAAATATGAAACAAGACCTTTGCCTTATACATTATACAAAAAGCAACTCACAATGGATCAGAGATCTAAGGCCTGAAGTCATCAAATTACTGGGGGAAAACATAGGGGAAATACTGCAAGACACTGACATAGGCAAAGACTTCTTGGATAAGACCCCTGAGGCACAGGCACTAAAGGCAAAAATAGACAAATGGGATTACATCAAGCTAAGAAACTTCTGCACAGCAAAAACTCAACAAAGTAAAGACACAACTGACAGAATGGGAGAAAATATGTGTAAACTATACATCTGATAAAGGATTAATATCCAGAATATGCAAGGAGATCAAGAAACTTAACAACAACAAAACAATCTAGTTAAAAAATGGGCTAAGGATATGAACAGGTATTTTTCAAAGGATGAAATACAAATGGCCAATAGACAATTAAAAAGATGCTCATATCACTAGCCATCAGGGAAACACAAATAAAAAGCACAACAAGGCTTCACCTCACCCCAGTTGGAATATCTATCATCCAAAACCAAAAAAAACAAATGCTGTCAAGGATGTGGTAAGAAAAGTACTCTAAAACACTATCGGTGAGAATGTAAACTTATGCAACCATTATGGAAGACAGTTTGGAGATTCTATAGAAATCTGAAAATAGATCTACTATATGAACCAGCCATTCCACTCCTGGAAATTTACTCAAAGGAAATGAAATCAGCATATGATAAGGTTACCTGTACCTCTATGTTTATAGCAGCTCAACTCATAGTAGCTAAGCTATGTAATCAACCCAAATGTCCATCAACTGGATAAAGAAATTATGGTATATACAAAATGGGCTACTACAGCTGGTAGAAAGAATGAAATCCTATCTTTCCCAACAAAATGGAGATCATCATGTTTAGGGAAATAGCCAGTCCCAAAAAGACAAATATCACGTTTTCTCTGATTTGTGGTAACTAATATACAGAGTAAAAAAAAAAAAGTTGATAAGCAATGTTGACATTTTGAGATTTGATTTTTTTAAAGTTTTATTTATTTATTTGAAAGAGTTATATATAGAGAGGAGAGGCAGACAGAGAGGTCTTCCATCCTATGGTTCACTCCCCAATTGGCCGCAGCAGCCAGAGCTGCGCGGATCCGAAACCAGGAGCCAGAAACTTCTTCTGGGTCTCCCACCAGGGTGCAGGGGCTCAAGGACTTGGGCCATCTTCTTGCTTTCCCAGGCCATAGCAGAGAGCTGGACTGGAAGAGGAGCAGCCGGGACTAGAACCGGTGCCCATATGGGGATGCCGGCACTTCAGGCCAGGGTGTTAATCCACTGCACCACAGTGTCGGCCCCAGAAATTTAATTCTTGTTTATAGCCCTTGTCTATACTCCTGCGGAACAGTGTTTTTCTGCTTACTACTTGTTGAATTGTGTTAAGTTCATGATTATAAAGTAAATTCAAAGTATGTCATTGTAAAAATTAAAAGAAAAACAAGGAGCAAAGATGGGAGGGAAGGAGGAATGAAGAAAGGATAGGGTGGGTACTATCATTATGCCTTTTTAAAATGATTTACTTATTTATTTGAAAGGCAGAATTACAGAGAGGCACAGACAGAGAAAGAGAGGTCTTCCATCTGCTACTTCACTCCTCAGATGACCGCAATGGCTGCAGCTGCACTGATCTGAGGCCAGGAGCCAGGAGCTTCTTCCAGATCTCCCACGCACTGCAGGGCCAAGCACTTGGGCCATCTTCCACTGCTTTCCCAGGCCATAGTAGAGAGCTAGATCAGAAGTGGAGCAGCCAGGACTCGAACCAGTGCCCATGAGATGCTGGCACCGCAAGTGGCTGCCTTACCCACTAAGCCACAGTGCCGGCCCCATGCTCTTAAAACTATCCTAAATCTGTATATATGAAATATCTGAAACTTGTATAACTCAAATACAGTGTTTTTTTTTTATAAAAGACCTATTTAATTTATTTGAAAGAGAGTTATAGACAGAGGTAGGTAGAAATAGAGAGAGAGAGAGAGAGAGAGAGAAAGGGTTTTCCATCTACTGGTTCACTCACTAGATGGCTGCAATGGCCAGAGCTGAGCCAATCTGAAGCCAGGAGCCAGGAGCTTTATCTGGGTCTCCCACATGGGTGCAGGGGCCCAAGGATTTGGGCCATCCTCCACTGGCGCTAGTTCGAGTCCCAGCTGCTCCACTTCTGATCCAGCTCCCTGATATGGCCTAGAAAAGCAGTAGAAGATGGCCCAAATCTTTGGGCCCCTGTACCCGCGTGGGAGACCCAGAAGAAGCTCCTGCCTTCTGGCTCCTGGCTTTGGATGGACACAGTTCTGGCTGTTGCGGCCATCTGGTGAGTGAACCGTGGATGAAAGACCTCTCTGTCTCTCTCTCTCTGTCTCTGCCTATACCTCTCTCTAGTTCTGCCTTTCAAATAAATAAATAAAATCTTTAAAAAAATAAGATTTATTTATTTGAAAATAAAAAATTGTATTGGTTCCAGAGAGGAACTAGACGGATACACATGATAAACCAGTATTGAAATTTGACAGGTAAAGAACGTGACATTCTAGGTTACAATGATAGTACCCACCCTATCCTTGCGTCATCCTTTAAAAAAGTGATTTATTTATTTGAAAGGCAGAGTTACAGAGAGGTAGAGGCAAAAAGAGAAGTCTTTCCAGGCAGATTCACTACCCAAGTGGCTGCAAGGGCTGGAATTGGGCCTACCCAAAGCTAGGAGCTAGGAGCCTCCTCCTGGTCCCCCTAGGTGGGTGCAGGGGCCCAAAGCCTTGGACTATCTCCTAATGCTTTCCCAGGCCACAGCAGAGAGCTGTATGGGAAGAGGAGCAGCCGGGACATGAACCGGTGCAGATATGGGATGCTGGCACTGCAAGCGGCGGCTTTACCACTACACCACAGCGCTGGCCCCTAGGTTAAGATTTCTAACAGCTGGAAATACAGATCTGAAATTTGGATATGTCATTCTGAGGGATAGAGCTTTAGAAGAAAAGCAAAGTGGTAAATAGTCTCCTCAGGGAGAGGTATTCAGGGCTATTGGAGAAAGAAAAGGAGGAGTGATTCCAAAGCTGAAGTGGGCGTTTCCAGTAGGGAGAAGTCAGAAAAGCGCAAACTGTAATTAATTTATAAGGGTTGTGAAGTGGAACTAGATGCAAGGGGGGAGCAGCTGGAAGTAGAACAGGTCTTGTAAACCCTTGCAGTCATTGTAGACGGATGACGACAAGCAGCATCACCTGGGGTTTGTCAAAACTGCATGAGCTACGTTCGGCCTCAGCCGGACCTACCGAATCAGAATCTGCACTTCAACAAACTACCGGAAGTAGGCGTACTTTCAAAGAGTACAACTGGACTATCTTACTTATTTGCTAACTTTGATGGTAGGGGGCAAAGAGACTAGTAATTTGAAACCAAGGCAAACTATTAAGCGGCCCCAATTTCCTGGTCTCTAGTTTTAATGGGGGGTGGGGAGGGAGGAAAACCGCTTGTTTAAAATGTCAGTAGACTGCAGAGGCGGTTTGAGGAAAATTGGTATGGACGCCGCAAAAGAAGTCAACAAGCAACTCCACCCCGTTGACCCCACAGCGCGCAGCTCCGCGGACCCAGATTTGAAAAATCCAGATTCTGCGCACTGGCTGCTCACGCCCCACTGGCGCGCGGCATTGTGGGACTCGTAGTCCCCGCCTGCTTGCAGAATTACAACAAACAGTTTGGCGGGGACGAGGAAAGGGTCAGAGTTTGGAAAGGACCCGAGGGCGGGGTCAAAACAGCCGGCCGTCCTTACCCCTTCGTCTTAGGGCTGCCTCGAGCGCGAGAGGGGACAGAACCCTAGCTGCCCGCCGGCCTCGGCAGCCCGGACGCACACGCTCTGCGTCATGGCGGGCTGGGGCGGATGATGAATTCCGGTGTGCAAGTGTGGGTTGCTGTGTCACTCGGCCCGCTCGGCGCGCCCCTTCCCCGCCGCCCTTCCGCACCGGCTCTTGGGCTCTTCCGGTCCCCAGGCGCCCCTCACCTGCAGGCTCGTCTCCCGCCGCCGCTTGGAGCACGCCGAGTCTCCGCTGCGGACTGATCTCGCGCGGTGCCCGGGATCCGGGCGCCGGAAAGACCCTGGCCATGGCTAGCGGCGCTGCCAGGTACCGGCTGAGCTGCTCGCTCCCGGGTCATGAGCTGGACGTGCGGGGCCTGGTGTGCTGCCTCTATCCGCCGGGGGCCTTTGTGTCGGTGTCCCGAGACCGCACCACCCGCCTTTGGGCCCCGGACAGGTGAGCGCTGCGAGTGGGGCTGTCGGCCGTCTGTGTTGCAAGCTTCCCGGCGAGTGGGAAGAGTGTCTCTTCCCTGCTGTAGCCTGCTCTTTCCCTCTCTTGCTGGTCTTTCCTCTGCTTCCCGCTCCTTCCCAACCCTCTGAGCCCTGGCTCTCTGGGCACTCCTCGTTAAGATTCTAGCGAGACTGAAGTGGAAGGAACCCCAGGTGGGGGACCGAGATCGGCTTTCTTGTCCTAATTTGAGCACAATCAAATGAGTGACCTTGGACGCGCCTCTTATTATTTATTTTTTTGGTGGTGGTGGGGGGGGAGGGCTTCGGTTTTCGGACGATGATCTCCCAAGTGTCTTCTAGATTTAGAGGTTTACTAATTCCATGTGCATCTTCCTAAGTGAGTAAGTCCAAAAGCATCTGGCATGTCCTCGTTCTCCCCCAGAAGTTGTACTGTAGTCTTCCTTCCGATAGGTTTTGAACACGTCAGTTCTCAAAAATTGCATTGACTCCATCCCTGTTGTCCAGTTTAGAGTTCCTTAGTCGGGGGTCTGTGAGGGTCTTGGGGGCAGGGGGTGAAAACTTCTCAAAAGTTTTATTGCCATATGGGGACGTGCTGTTTTCTTGAGGAGAGAGCTTGTACTAACCTGAAAAAGACTTATCAGAGGGGTTCAGGAGGGGAAGAAGGTCGAGAACCAGGTTAACCTCCAGTCCAGACCAAGTTCAAGGGTTTGGCTCTGATTTTAGCTGGTTTTTAGCAGGAAATTTAAAACCAGAACAGAGATTTTTTTTTTGTTCCGGAAAAAGAAAAATTGAGGTTAGTGGTTTTATTATTTGGCAAGTCTGCCATCACTGGAGGTTTCAGGGTTTGGGTGGCCATCCATCAGTTGATTGCTAACTATAGAGTGCCCCCTGTTTATTTTGGATCTTGGAGAGGAAAATGAAGACAAGTTGGCTGTGTTTGTACAGCTGTCTTGCAGTCTGCTGAGGAACAAGGCTTAAAACCCTAGCAAATAAGTAGTTAAGAACTGGCACCTGTATTATGAAGAAAATAAATGGGGTGAAGGGAGGTGTAAAAGAGGGGGCCTCTCTGAAGAGATGTGTGCTTTTGACATTTGAAGCACTGACCACATAGATTAAGCTGGGAGCCTTGGGGAGGAAGAATGAGTAGAGTTGAACTGAAAGAGCTAGGCAGAGGCCCTGGCTTGAAAAAGACAAGTCCCTAAGTGGCAGGAGGGAGTGAGCTGTGAACTGAGATCAGGCAAGAGCCACATCATGGAGTCTGCAGGTGGGAGCCTTCAAGAACTTAGCAGTGGAGAGCAGCGTGATGTGATTTACCCATTGAGAAGTGTCTGTCAGCTGCTGGTGGAGAAGGGGCATGGAAGTAGATCTTTTCGGAGGCATTTGCAGTATGCTAGACTAGACTAGGTTTTATAAAGCAAGCCTTGTATTGGATGAGTTGACCTCTACAGGTCTCTTCTAACATTGTCAGGACTATCTAAAGGTTGTCTGTTGTAATTTTATCTATCCTGCCATTAAACTTTTACATGTTTTGTAGAATTGTGTTAGGTTGACAAGAGTTTAAGTTGCTGGAGTGCTTGCATTTTCAAGCAACGTTTAGTTGAAATGATCTTCTATTTGACAACTAATTCTTGTCTTTTAACTCATGTTCTTTTTAAAAAACTTATTCATAGATTTATTCAACTAACACTGATGAAGAGCTTGCATTTTGCCAGGCACAAGGCTAGAAAATGAGTGATAAGACAGATAAAATTACTTAATTTGTTATTTGTAACTGCATAGGTTAAAGGATCTCATAGTCACGGAGTGTTAATCTCTTAGCCATAATGAATAGAATGACCCAGCCACACCATTTATTGTTATAAAAAGTGTCTTCAAGGCCAAGATACTGGCAATTTTTATTTCATAGTATATTTATAAAATTAGAGTACCATACAATATTTGGAGCTAAGTAGTAAATGAAGTTTGTTTGCTCGTATACATTATTGATATGGTTCTGGTTCCGCATATTAAGTGTAGAGAGTAGAGTGATAGGGGAGTTTTGTTCTAGGGAGATGGAAATAGTTCTGTGCTAGAGTGGACTAAGTCTTTCACAAAATTCCATTGAAAACCCAGAAAGTCTCTCTGGACCCTCTGAAGTCCCTTCAGAATAGAGACATTAATTTTTGGGTTGTGCACTGACCTGAGACAGCCAACATGCCCTTGTATCAGACTCCTTCTGTCTTCAGATTTCTCAAGTCTGTCACAACTTCTAAGTTTTGAGGTATGGCTCCAGCAACTTTGCCTTATGTTGCTTAGCCTTTTGAAAGCTACCCATATTTGAATCATATTTTCAGATTTAAGATCATGCCTTGAATCTTTCCTGAGCATGTCCTGAGGCTGAAGTGACATCTGGATCACGTAAACATTTATAATTTTGGGTCCCCCTTCAAACAGTTCTGGGGTTTGTTAAGAAATCAATTCTGTTCCCACTGTGCTTCCATTTCCCTTTCTCAAAGTAAAATTTTCATTGAACTTCTCTTTTTAGCATTTTACATTTATATATACATATATTGTTTTTAGGGGTGCGTGTGTATATAGAAACAGTGTTTATTTTAGGCATTGTTAGTTCTAAGATCGAATATGAGAATGTAGCTCTCTTTCTGCCTTTTACCTAATCACATATATGGAAAGGTATTTTTAAAAGTTTGGGGGTGGGGTGGGGTGGGATTTAGGGGAGTATTTAGCCTAGTCATTAGTTTGCCCATGTACCATTTCTGCATACCTGGGTTTGATACTGGACTCTTGCTCCAGACTCCAGCTTCCTGCTAATGCAGACCCTGGGAGGCATCTATAATGGCTCAAGTAATTTCCTCCCTGCCACCAAGCTGTGGGCTGCTGGCTTGTGAGCCAGCAGGTGGGAGCTCTGTTTCTCTGTTTGAGAGGCTCTCTGCCTCTCAAATTAATAAATTTTTTTAGTGTTTGTGGAAAATGAAATTAAAATGCAAGCTAAGAAAGTTTTTTTTTTGACAGGCAGAGTTAGAGACAAAGGTCTTCCTTCCGTTGGTTCACTCCCCAAATGGCCACCATGGCGGGCGCTGCTCCAAAACTTTGAATGAGAAATCTGCTTATGATCCTATTGAGATTGCTTGTGTATGATGAATTATTTCTTTCTCACTGCTTTCAAGATTCTTTGTTTCTGCGTTTTCTTAAGTTGGATTATATTGGGTCTCATTATGGAACTCGTTGAGTTTATTTTAATTGGAGTTAAGTGAGCTTCATCAAATTTAGAGTGTCTTTAAGCCATTATTTCATTGAATATTGTGTTTCAGTATTCTGAAATTGGCACAGTATTGTGTTGATTGTTTCATATGTCAAACAAGTCCCTTAGGCTGTGTTCACTGTTTTTCTACCTTTTTTCTTGCTTTTGATGATTTACAGTGTCCTATTTTCAAATTCACTGATTTGTTTTCTTCTGCCTACTCAGATCTGCCTTTCAATCTACCTTGTAAACTTTTCATGTCAGTTATTGTACCTTTTTTTAGTTCTAAGGTTTCCATTTTTAGGCATTTGATCTCTATATTAATATTTCTATTTTGTTCATTGTTTTCTAGACTTTCTCCACATTTACCTTTAGTTGTTTGAGCATCTTTTTTTATTATTATTATTATTTTTTGACAGGCATAGTGGACAGTGAGAGAGACAGAGAGAAAGGTCTTCCTTTGCCGTTGGTTCACCCTCCAATGGCCGCTGCAGCCGGCGCTCCGCACTGATCCGGTGGCAGGAACCAGGTACTTCTCCTGGTCTCCCATGGGGTGCAGGGCCCAAGCACTTGGGCCATCCTCCACTGCACTCCCTGGCCACAGCAGAGAGCTGGCCTGGAAGAGGGGCAACCGGGACAGAATCCGGCACCCCGACCGGGACTAGAACCCGGGGTGTGCTGGCGCCGCAAGGTGGAGGATTAGCCTAGTGAGCCATGGCACTGGCCTGTTTGAGCATCTTTAAGACAGTTGTGTTAAAGACTTTCTCTAGTAAATCTGCAATTAGGTATTTTTCATGGACAGTTTTTTTTTTTTTCAACAGGCCATGCTTTCCTGTTTATTTATGTGTTCTGTATTTGTTAAAAATTGGATGTTGAATCTAATATGATGACTGTGGAAACTAGATTTTCCCCTTTTTCCAGGGGGATTTTTCCTGTTGTTATGTTTTTTATTTGTCCGTTATTGTAGGGTGACTGTGCCAAAGATCATCTTCTCAGGCCTTTTTTGAGCTTGTACTTTTCCTTGAGCGTGCATGTTCGCTTTCTGATTTCTCTGCATATGCAGTTCTTTTTGAACGTCCCAGTCTTTATGTCTGACTCGAGAGAAAGAAGAAAAAGAAAAGTGAAGGGGTGAGGATAATGGGTGGCAGAAGTTTGTTGCAGGAGATGAAATGCTGCTTGGGCATATTGGAGTGTCTGGATTCAAGTCCCACTTCTGCTTCCAGTTCCAGTTTCCTGTTCATGCACACTTTGGGAGGCAACAGATAATCACTCAGGGGTCCCTGCCACCCACATAGGAGATGTGGGTTGGATTTGGGCTCCTGGCTTTGACCTAGTCCAGCCTTGGCTGTCGCTGGCATTTGAGGAGTAAACCAGTAGGTAGGGAATCTGTGTTTCTGTCATTCAGCCTTTCAAATAAAAAATGATGATAAGTAAAAATTTTAAACCCTGGAAGTCACTTCAGTTGGAGAGATAAGGGCTGACAACCATGAGAGAGGGTATAGTAACAGTGCTGCCTGCCTCTCTTTGTACCTCCAAGGTCAGAGTAGCAATAAGTTGTCAGAGAACAGATCCCTGATATTTGGAGGACAGGATCCTTATTGCCTAACCTAGCTCCTGCACATACATACAAGCTGCTCCAGTGACATGTGCATGTCTGCCTGCCATGGAGCTGAGATAAGAGGTACCGTGGTAAGAACTGAAATTATTCAAAGTTAACTCAGATTTACAGACCAAACTTTGTCCTGGACATTGCAAGCTTTCAGTTGACTTCAGAGATTCAAAATTTTATCAGACAGATAATACCAGTGCAATTGTGGCGAAGTAGGGCAACAGATTCTTGATGCTTCTTTTCTCTCAACAGAATCTTTGCCAGTTCTTGACCTTTTTGGGGATTTATGGCTAAATTGATTCTTCCCTGCTGCCTATGTAAAACTCATTTTTTTCCCAGATCGCCTAAGGCCTTCACTACTTTTCTGTCAGTTTTCACTATGCAAAGTTGTTTTCTTTTTTTCTTTTTTTTATGATGCTCCTTGGCCTTGTGGATTTATACACACACACACACACACACACACACACACAAGGTTTTAACGGGATTTGGGAAGGTAGTGAAAATAGATAAAAGATAAGACTCCTAGGCAAAGACTGAACACACTCATCTCTTTATGTGCTTGTATTGTATTCTTCAACCATAATGCAAACTCCTTGATTTAATTTATGGACATAGCTCTTGATATCCCTCTTAGCAGCTGACGTACTGCTTTCCATGTAGTCTGTCATCATCTATTCTTTGGCTTGTTAGTAAGGCAGTGATGTTAAATAATTGATACATAGAACAAACTGGTAATCATTCTAATCCAGAGGCAATTTTCAATGTACTGTGTCCCTAGAGTAGCCATCTCTTTTTTGTTATTGTTGTTTAGAGCAGCCATTTATATATCCCCATATTAGTTCCTTTTCTGCATATTGAGAATGATCAATATTCTAGCAACTTAGATACACTATATTAATTGGTACTGAGTTAATGATTCATAGTGTGAAAATGTACTCACTACATTTAAGGCATATTGATAATGGATTTTATTGCTACTATTGTTAGAGAAGTGGAAAGAGAGAGACAGAGAACTCTTCATCCACTTATTCACAGTCCAAATAGCCTCAATAATTGGTCCTGGGCTGGACCAAAGCCAGGCGCCAGGGATTCAGTCCAGGTCTCCCACAAAGGTGGCAGGGAACCAACCTCTTTAGCCTCTACATTCCAGGACTTGAATTAGCAGGAAACTGGAACTGGGAATGGAGGCAGGTATTGAATCCCGGCACTCCAATATGGATCTGCTAGGCTGAAACTCTTGTGGGTCCCCTGCCCCCCGCCCAAATTCTTTGTTAGCTTAATTGTGTATATGTTTCACTTCAGAGGGATTTCTCCATCCATGTCTTCCGGGTAATTGCAGGGACTCAAGGACTTGGGACAACTTTCACTGCTTTCCTAGACACATTGCAGGAAGCTGCCACAGAAATCGAGCAGCCAGGACTCCAACTTGCACCCACAAGAGCTGATGGCATTGTAGGCAGTGGTTAACCCGCTACACTATGCCAGCCCCTGCAGTAAGGGTTTCTTGGGGTAGCAATCACTGATGAATAGTAATGAAGATGAAGAATGAGAAAAAGACACTCACAGTATTTGTTTCCCTGCCTTTCCTACTTATTAATACTTTCTGTTAATTGACATTTTTGTCAAAAAGAAGTAGTAAACAGACTTTATCTAATCTGATGTAATCCTCCATACATTTAATTTAAAACAATGGATTCATAAAAATAGTATGTACTTGTTCATCTAAGACACTAAATAAAAATGATCCTTTGATGTGTTATGTCCTAGTTTAAGGGAGGGAACAAATGCCTATCTATTAATTATCTTACCTTTTTAGTCCTAACAGGGGCTTTACAGAAATGCACTGTATGAGTGGCCACTCCAACTTTGTATCTTGTGTATGCATCATACCTTCAAGTGACACATACCCTCATGGACTAATTGCCACTGGAGGAAATGACCACAATATATGTATCTTCTCACTGGACAGTCCATTGCCACTTTATATTCTAAAAGGTCACAAAAATACTGGTAAGTATAACATTTTGGTGTTTTTCTGTTTGGACTTTTGTCCTTTTGTAAATAAAATCCACATATCCATCTTCTCAAGTTGTTATGTTTGCTTCAGCTGTAGCTTTAGTGGAAAATTTTTGGTGGGCCTATCTTAGATCTGTAAAGTCCCTTTGTTTTTTCTGTTGTTGTTGGTAAAGGTTGACATGCTTATGCAGGCAAAAAATAAGGTGTTTAGTTATGGAAGAAAGAGAATGCATAACTTTAATGTACTTCATGATTTTGGTTTTCAGCTGTTTTGTACAAGAACTCCATTTACTAAGGAAAATTAAGTATATTTCTTCATCCTTTATTATGGCTGTATACATGTACCAAATCAAAGACCCAGAAGGAATGTGTTTAGGTCTCTGCTGTCATTATTGAAGAGGGTTTAATACTTAGGAATATAGTTTTTTTAAGATTTACTTACTGAGAGGCAGAGTTACACAGAGACAGGACAAGACAGAGAGAGCAGTCTTCCATCCATTGTTCCACTCCCCAAATGGCCTCCATGGCTGGAACTGGGCCAACCTGCAGCCAGGAGCCAGGAACAACTTCTGGGTCTCCCACTTGGGTGCAGGGGTCCAAGTACTTGGGACATCTTCTACTGCTTTTCCGGGCCATCAGCAGGGAGCTGGATCAGAAGTGGAGCAGCTGGGACTCAACTGGCACCCATATGGGATGTCTGTACTGCAGGCAGATGCTTAAGCTACTATGCCATAGCACCATACCTGAAATATTCACCATGCCTGAATATTGTTTTCTGTGATTTGTATATATTCCTAATTCTGTGATAATTCTGGGTTTGTATATGGAATAACAGCTTTTAATTATAGAAGTACATGCTTAATTAGTACAGTATATAAGCTTCTTATGTATCTGGGATACTTTGGGACATGTCCCATAAACACTTTAAACTTAATTCCTCTAAAGAATTTGGAAAGTGTGTGTGTTTGTGTATATCTATGCATGTATGTGTGTGTGTGTGTATCATCTTTAATACACAATGATAGAAATTTTAAAGACATCTATTTGTGAAAGTCACTTAAAATTTTGGAACAGAGTAGGTAACAAGTAAGAGGAATGTTAATTTAAATATCATAATGCATATTTAGCTTTAAATTATATTCTTTAGGAAAGATTGGTTTTTTTGTTTGTTTGTTTGCTTGCTTGTTTGTTTTTAAAGATTTTTATTTATTTATTTGAGAGGTAGAGTTACAGACAGTAAGTGAGAGAGACAGAGAGAAAGGTCTTCCTTCCATTGGTTCACTCCCTTAATGGCTGCAGCTGCTGGAGCTGCGCTGATCCAAAGCCAGCAACCAGGTGTTTCTTCCCAGTCTCCCACTTAGGTGCAGGGGCCCAAGCACTTGGGCCATCTTCTACTACTTTCCCAGGCCACAATAGAGAGCTAGATTGGAAGAGGAGCAGCCGGAACTAGAACCGGCACCCATATGGGATGCTGGCGCCGTAGGCAGAGAATTAACCTGCTCCATGGCACCAGCCCCAGGAAAGATTGTTTTTCCTAAAGTTAATGACCCTTTTTCCCCCTCATTTCCATAACTTTCTGTGTACTTGTAGCTCATTTTTTTGCATCTGTTGCAGTAAGTCTAAGAAATACTTATACTTACCAGAACTCAGTCACATAACACAGAGTGAGTGTTTCTCATTCATTCTACTTTGGATTAGAAGGGGGACTTTGCTTATCAGGGATTTGGCCTTCTTCTCTACGTGCAGTCAGTCATTCCAGCAATGAAAGAACACATGGTTAGTACACTGGCTCATTTAAAAAAAAAAAAAAATATTGGGCCGGCGCCGCGGCTCACTAGGCTAATCCTCCGCCTAGCGGCGCCGGCACACCGGGTTCTAGTCCCGGTCGGGGCGCCGGATTCTGTCCCGGTTGCCCCTCTTCCAGGCCAGCTCTCTGCTGTGGCCAGGGAGTGCAGTGGAGGATGGCCCAGGTGCTTGGGTCCTGCACCCCATGGGAGACCAGGAAAAGCACCTGGCTCCTGGCTCCTGCCATCGGATCAGCGCCGTGTGCCGGCCGCAGCGCGCCGGCCGCGGCAGCCATTGGAGGGTGAACCAACGGCAAAGGAAGACCTTTCTCTCTGTCTCTCTCTCTCACTGTCCACTCTGCCTGTCAAAAAAAAAAAATATATATATATATATATATATTATTTGATTTCATGTACTTTAAAGGCAGAGAGAGCTCTTTCATCCTCTGGTTAACCCCCAAATGCTTGCAACAGCTGAGACTGGGTCAGTACTTGAACCAGTACTCTGATATGGGATGCGGGCTTCCCAAGCCACAGCTTGACCCACTAAGCCACAGTCCCTACCCCTGTGCACCGGCTTTGAAAGAGTATGTTTCGGGTCAGCATTGTGGTGTGGTGGGTTGGGCCACTGCCTACAACGCCAGCATCCCATATGGGAGCTGATTTCTGATCCAGCTCTATTGGTGTGCCTAGGAATGTAGTAGAGTATGGCCCAAGCGCTTGGGCCCCCATACCCACGTGGGAGATCTGAGTGAAGCTCCAGGCTCCTGGATTTGGTCTGACCCAGCCCAAGCCATTGTGGCCATTTCTGGGGAGTGAACCTGCAGATGGATGATCTCTCTATCTCTCCTCTCTCTGTAACTCTGCCTTTCAAATACAGTAAGTCTTTTTAAAAAATGGGGTATTGTGAAAATGTGAGTTACCATGTGGACTACCAACAAATGAAGCTATCATGGCTGTACGTAACTTCAAATGGTGGAGGAAAGTACCATCTTTCTATGTATTTGGAAAGGGAGAGCTACCACAATGTGTGTTCTGGTTACCAATCATTGAGCTCCTCTTCCTGCTACAGGCAAAATATACCCTCCCACCTCCCAATATGAAACAATTCAAAAGCCCCATCTAGTTATAGAACCAAGCCCAAAGTTAAGAATATGCGGGTTAGGCATAGTATTGTAACCATCAGGGAGGTGCTGCTCAGGTGTTTCTACATCAGGTCCAGGTATATTTCCTTTTAAATTAAGAGATGTATGGACCGGCGCCGTGGCTCACTAGGCTAATCCTCCGCCTTGCGGCACTGGCATACCGGGTTCTGGTCCCGATCAGGATTCTGTCCCGGTTGCCTCTCTTCCAGGCCAGCTCTCTGCTGTGGCCAGGGAGTGCAGTGGAGGATGGCCCAAGTACTTGGGCCCTGCACCCCATGGGAGACCAGGATAAGTACCTGGCTCCTGCCATCAGATAAGTGCGGTGCACCGGCTGCAGCGCGCCAGCCGTGGTGGCCATTGGAGGGTGAACCAACGGCAAAGGAAGACCTTTCTCTCTGTCTCTCTCTCTCTCTCTCACTGTCCACTCTGCCTGTCAAAAAAAAAAAAAAAAAAAAAAGAGAGATGTGTGGACTATCACCCATACGCAGTATACAGTTGCGGAAAAGGATAGCATAATTAGAGCAAACACTCCGATTCAGAAAAGGGGACAGCACAAGAAAGCATTCTCTGATCTAGCCGTTCTGAAATCCAAATGAGTGGCTGTTTCAAGGACTTTGTCCTCTCAAATGGAAAGATTTTTGCGAACAGTTCTCTCTGGTCTCACGAAAGAAGTTCCCAGTTCATTTTTTTGTGGCCCTGCTTTGACCTTCTGGGGCATTCTTCCTTTTCTAAGATAATGTTTTATATTTACAGTGTTTATAATGTGGAATTTTACATTAAGGTAATAAGTTTAATTAACCATTCCATTACTATTGAACGTTTATGTTGGATCTAGGTTTGTTGGTTTTTTGTGTGTTTTTGTGTCATTTTAATGAGAGTGGCCTTAATTATATCTATTTCAAAATAATTTCTGTTGTCTCCTTATTGTACTTTCTTAAATCTATAAGGGATTGTGCATTCCCACTTAGTCCTGCTCCCTTATTTTACAGAGTGGGAGTCCGAGGTTAAATATTATCCTAGTGGTCACTTAGCATGTAAGTTACACGGCTTGGCTTTGTACCCAGGCAGTCTGGTGTCAGTCTGTGCTCTTGACCACTACACTCTTCAGTGTCTCCATTGAGTTAAGTCTTAATTGGCTAAGGTACTGCCACTTGCCAGAGTGTTTTTACCATAGCAATTCTTATTAATAACTTGTTGCAGAGTTGAGCATTTTTCTATGTGAAAATGTGTTAACTAATGACTTTCCCCCTGCAGTTTGTAGTCTTTCATCTGGGAAATTTGGAACATTACTTAGTGGCTCATGGGACACCACTGCTAAAGTCTGGCTGAATGACAAATGCATGATGACCTTACAGGTACAGTGTTTCTCTGTGAATATTCTACATAAAAATTAAATATGGCAGTTTCGTGGCAAGTGAAATTGATACTGATTTTACTCACAGGGTCATACAGCTGCAGTATGGGCAGTAAAGATCTTACCTGAACAGGGCTTAATGTTGACTGGATCAGCAGACAAGACCATTAAACTGTGGAAGGCTGGAAGATGTGAGCGAACTTTTTCAGGTATGGTTGGGACAAGTAACTTTTGTAATATTGCTTATTTGCTCAGATGATTTTTTTTACTCAGATTTTAGAGGCTTGAAAATGGTATTTCAAAAACATCAATATATTTGAGCTATTTGTTTCGGGTGAATGCAATTTTCCTGTCAGAGTGAATATATATTTTTAAAAAGTGTGGTGTAGTGGGTAAAAGCCTCTGCCTGCAACGCCACCCTGCATCCTACACAAATGCTGCTTCGTTCCCCAGTGCTTCATTTCCAATCCAGCTCCAGGCTGGTGTGCTTGGGAAGGCAGCAAAGGGTGGCCCAAGTACTTGGGCCCCTGCCACTCATGTGGGAGACACCAAGGAAGCTCCTGGCTCCTGGCTTTAGTCTGCCTCAATCCTGGTTGTTGTAGCCATTTGGGGAGTAAACCAGCAGATGGAAGATTTCCCCCTCCCCCTCCCTAACTCTGCCTTTCAAATAAATAAATCTTTAAGAAAAAAGTTATTGTGAAACCTCTCATGAAACCAGGTGTAGACTAATGGATGGCTATCTGGTAAGTTACAGTGTGTATATGTGTTTTTCCATTATATTTATATAATATGTATATAATTTTTGACATGTAGATATTTTCTGTCATTGTTAACGCATTCAGCCTGAAATTTTAAGCATAAATAATCCATACTTATTTTGGGTTAGTTCAGTGTTATCTTCACATATAGTGGGACACATCATTAATGTCTTTATACTGAAACACATTGTGTAATAACAAATTTGTGGATTTTGGTAGGTAGCCTCTTTAAACCTCAGTGATTAAATAATACCAACACTAAAGTATCTTCTGTTAAATATTAATAGCACTAATTTATTTGTGGGACACTTAGGATTTTGGTCTGAGTTTTTATTGTTTTTAACATTTTCTCCTTAAAATTTCATCACCATTCTGGATAATCCTTCATGAGTCCCTTTGTACAGAGTTTAAAAATCTCTATAGATAGAAAATGGATAACAAGTTATAACTAAGTATTATGCTGTGCTTTTTTTATCCGTACGTACAATATATATTTATTAAGTGAGAATTAAACCATGCTAACAATCAACAAATGTTGAAAATGGGAGGTTTTTTTTTTTTTTAAGATTGATTTATTTATTTGAAAGGCAGAAATATGGAGAGAGAGAAATCTTCCATCCACTCTTTCATTCCTCAAATGGCTGCAATGGCCAGGGATGGGCCAGGCTGAAGCCAGGAGCCAGGGGTTCTTCCTGGTCTCCCACATGGGTACAAGGGCCCAAAAACATGGGCCATCTTCTGCTACTTTCCCAGGCCATAAGCAGAGAGTTGGGTCGGAAGAGGAGTAGCCAGGATAGCTACTGGTGCACGTAAGCCACACGTGGAGGCTTAGCCCATCACACCGCAGCGCTGGCCCTGAAAGTGGGAGTTTTGGCTTCTATTCTCCTTTATTAGATTACAAGGTTCGAAAATGTTTTGTCCTTAAATGTACTGGATATTTACTCTTTGTTATGAATTTCTGTTAAATATTGTGAATCTTATGAAGTATTTTTGCTATTGGAAATAAAAATTGAAAATGAATTTTCAGATGAAAATGAAGAATTGTTGGTATCAAAATACTATTTTTAGAGGGCTTTAGGCAATTGTTTTGAGAGGATGGGATGTTCATAAAATCATTTCTCAAGATTATTAATAAAAAATATGGTAAAGCTAAAGTACAAATTTTGGTTACCAGACTTTGCTATAGAAAAAAAATGAAACTTCTCTAATTTGAAAAAGCAAGTTTATGATGTTTTTTAATGTTTATAAACTGCACAGAGCCTTCAAAGACATGACTCATTTTATTGCTTGGCATTATTCTTTCTGTAACCCAGGACATGAAGACTGTGTAAGAGGCTTGGCAATTTTGAGCGAAACACAATTTCTTTCCTGTGCAAATGATGCTAGTATTAGAAGGTGGCAAATCACTGGCGAGTGTCTAGAAGTATATTATGGACATACAAATTATATTTATAGCATATCTGTCTTTCCGAATTGTAGAGGTAAGATTATCTTGTGCAATGTGTTTAGAAATTTATATTTAGCATTATTCTGTCTCATCTTTGAGATACAGGAGGAAGACTGATTACTTCTGACAGTGTATTTATCTGTGACTTGAATAATTTAGTAACTTTATTTGCTAACTATCATTTTCCGAATAAAGAAAATTGTATGGCCATGCTATAATTATAAATATATATAAATATAATATATTAATTCACATTAGATGGTTGTGTTTTTAAAAGTCCTTGGGTCTCTGAGGAAAGATTATGTAATTTATTTGTTAAAGATATGAGATGTAAGGAACAAAATGGATTTAAAATGTGATTTTGAAGTTATGTAGGGTATAAGTTAATAATAAAATTTAAAACTACTTTTAAAACTTTGATGTTTAAGAATGATAGTGTGAATAAATGTACTTAATTCTATTTGCTGAAACTAATTTTTCCTGTATTTATTAATTTTAGATTTCGTGACAACAGCAGAAGACAGATCCCTGAGAATCTGGAAACGTGGAGAATGTGCTCAAACAATCCGACTTCCAGCTCAGTCTATATGGTGCTGCTGTGTACTAGACAATGGCGACATTGTGGTTGGTGCAAGGTATTTATATTCTAATCAGTTAGTAAATATGTGTCTAGACCTTTGGTAGACATCAGAGTATACGGAGATGAGCCATAAGAAATGTCAGGTGACCTGGGGAGATGATATGAACATTCTCTTAATGAACAGAAAAACAGAAGGTAGAAGGGTGTTTACACAGATGATACGTGACATGTTCTACTAGAATTGTACTGCAAGTCGTGCAGTTGAAGCACTGACTATAAAAGAAGTTAGGGAAGGTAGAGACGGATGTGAGAAAACTTTCTGGAGGAGAAATTTGAGTTGGATTTTGCAAGACTATGAGTAAAGAAGAAAATGGAAATTTCTGTCAATGGAAGCAATACAGCAACCCCTCTGTATATTTGCTTTCTACATCTGTGGATTCACCAACCTCATACTGAAAATATTTGAAAAAATATTTCATCTGTATTGGGCATGTACAGACTTCTTTTCTCGTCATTATTTCCTGAATAATAGAGTTTAATAATTAGTTAGGTAGCACTTATACTTTATTAAGTATTATAAGTAGTCAAGTGATGATTTAAAGTATACAGGAGGATATGAATAGAATGCATACAAATATGGGGCCACCGCTGTGGCTTAGTGGGGTAAAGCCTCGGCCTGCAGCCACAGCATCCCATATGGGCGCTGGTTCAAATCTCTGTTGCTCCACGTCTGATCTCACGCCCTGCCAATGTGTCTGGGAAAGCAGCAGAGGATGGTACAAGTCTTGGGCCCCTTTACTCACATGGGAGACGCAGAAGAAGCTCCTGGCTCCTGGCTTTGGCCTGCATCACTTGTGGCTGTTACAGCCGTTCGGGGAGTAAACCAGTAGATGGAAGATCTCTCTTTCTATCTTTTCTCTCTAACTGCCTTTCAAATAAATAAGTAAATTTTTAAAAAAATCTTCATTGAGAAATAATACATACAGATACTATACCATTTTATATAAGGGACTTGAACATCAATGAATTTTGGTTGTAAAACTAAGCCCCATGGATACTGAGAGATGACAGTTCTCAATTTCTTTCATGGGAATGAATATGATCTGCATAGGAATGAAGGAAAATAGAGGAATGCTAATGCTAGGGAATAGTGGATGGTAGGTGTGGTGCAGCTTAACTTTGGAGTACCTTGAATGCCAGGCATGTTTTTAGTTTCAGTGCTGGGAAGTAAGAGTTTGCAAGTATTTTTCTTTGTTTCTTTTTCTTTCTTTCTTCTGTTTGTTTGTTTTTTAAGATTTATTTATTTGAGTGTCAGAGTTAGAGAGGGAGAGAGAGAGAGGTCTCCCATCTCTTGGTTCACTTCCGAAATGGCTGCAAAGGCCTTAGCTGGGTCGATCTGCAGCCAAAAGTCAGGAGCTTCTTCCAGGTCTTCCACGTGGGTGGCAAGAACCCAAGGACTTTGACCTCCTTCCACTGCATTCCCAGGTACATAAGTATGGAGCTGGATCTGAAGTGGAGCAGCCAGGACTCTTAACTAATGCCCATGTGGGATGCTGGCGTCATAGATGGCAGCTTTATGCCACAATGCTGGGCCCCAAGAAGTTGTATCTCTTGAGAAGAAATTATATGATTAAAGCAGAATTTGATAATTGTTGAACATATGGACTGGAGTTATCTAGAGGTGACAATGGATATGGAAGCAACTAGAAAGCAGCTGAAGTAGTGTGGGTATGAAGTTATAAAACAGTTGCACAATGCTAATGGACAAGAGATAAATAGAAGATAATTTGGAGGAGATATTATCCAAAACGGGATAAAGAAATTAATAAAGCTGCAGTCTTTGCTGGCGCCTTGGCTCACTAGGCTGATCCTCTGTCTGCGGCGCCGGCACCCCGGGTTCTAGTCCCGGTTGGGGCGCCAGGTACTGGTCCCAGTTGCTGCTCTTCCAGTCCAGCTCCCTGCTGTGGCCCTGGAGGGCAGCGGAGGATGGCCCAAATGTTTGGGTCCCTGCACCCGCATGGGAGACCAGGAGGAAGCACCTGGCTCCTGGCTTCAGATCGGTGCAGCGCACCGGCACAGTGGCTGTGGCAGCCATTAGGGGAGTGAACCAACAGAAGGAAGACCTTTCTCTCTGTCTCTCTCTAACTGTCTATAACTCTCTCTCTGTCTCTCTCTCTCACTGTTTAACTCTGTCAAAAAAAAAAAAAAAAAGGAAAAAAGAAAAAGCTGCAGTCTTCAATGGAATTCCTCATTAAAAAAAATCGAGAATTGGGAGAATTAGTTTGGTACAGAAAGTGATGACTTCACTTTGGACTTCCAGAAATCTGAGTAATAGAGGGCCACACACAAGCTAATGGATCATGGGCAGTTAGGAGCCTAATACAAGAACTGAGACTGGGGCTGGTGCTGTGGTGTAAAAGGTTAAGCCTCTGCCCGCAGTGCTGGTATACCATATGGGTGCCAGTTCCAGTTCTTGCTGCTCTGCTTCTGATCCAGCTCTCCCCTAATGTGCCTGAGAAAACAGCAGAAGATGGCCCAAGTACTTGGGCTCCTGCACCCACAAGGAGACCTAGAAGAAGCTCCTGACTCTGACCTGGGCTTGGCCCAGCCCTGGCCGTTGTTGCTATTTGGCGAGTGAACCAGCGTATGGAAGAATCTCTCTCTCCTTCTTTATTTCTTCCTTTCAAATAAAATCGTTTTTTAAAAAAAGACAAACTGAGACTAAGATGAAGATTTGCACAAAGCTGCCCAAAGCAAACCAGTGGGGATCTCTGAGGGAAGAAGTATAGACAAGGAGTGGAAGATTAAGAACTGAGTCTTGTAATATACTGAGAGAGGCCAGTAGGCTAAACAGGACAAAGAAACACAGAAGTTGGCATTTAGAGACAGAAAAGGGGAGATTTTTGAAAGAGATTGTCATCAAGGTCAAAAAGAACTTGAAGCGTCAGGGAATGGAACGTCAGAAAAGCGTTTGGATTTGCTTTGAAAGATGTCATTAGTGACTCTCTGACATCACATTTTTGTAGAAACAAGATATGTACGAAGCCATAAAGGGCTGCTTAAAGAGGTGGATGAAGGAAAGGATTATAGACTATCTTAGAATTGAAGGCAAGAAAAAAGAGGTGACAGCTGTGAGGATTAGAGGGTATAACAAAGTAGAAGTGTTTTATGTTTTGTCCGGGGCAAGGGTTGATTTGTCGGCTTAGTTCCCTTCCACCCCCACCTCCCTAAGCATGTTTGATAAAGTGGAAAGTACTAACTTTGCTATTTCAAACTTTTAGAATTGAGAATTTATGGAAATAAAGTAATTTTTTCTGAGCCTAGAGATTGAGGACTGCCATGCAGTCTAAGCGTGAGGCTGGGTTTTTTTGTGATGTTTGTTTTCCTGTGGTTGGAGTCACATTGTTCATTACTGGCAGAATAAAGGCCATATTTTCACATTTGCTATTTAATAAACTGTATGTTGGGTCCTTGATACCTTTATAAAGTAAACCAGGCCACTATACCATAATGCTGCTGTAATACTGACTTTAAACATAAGTACTGTATCTCTAGATTAATGCAATAATACATTTAACTTGGAGTTGAAAATTGTGTAAAGATATATTTCTCTCTTTTGCCAGTAACTTCTCCTTTAAATAGTTGAAATAAATATTAGAAGACATTGTGTAATGAAGTTAGTATAGTGCTATCAATAATAGATGCTTAGTAACATTTCTTACATTCATATGTATAGATTATTTCATTGGGGTGTGAGAATGTTAATACTCTATGGCACTGACTTTTAAAATCAGTTTGTTTTTCCCTATAGTGATGGTATTATTAGAGTGTTTACAGAATCAGAGGATCGGACAGCAAGTGCTGAGGAAATCAAGGCTTTTGAAAAAGAGCTGTCTCAGGCAACCATTGATTCCAAAACTGGTGATTTAGGGGACATTAATGCTGAGCAGCTTCCTGGAAGGGAACATCTGAGAGAACCTGGTAAATATTCCATTTTATTTAGCGGTAAAAACAAATGCCTTTTGGGATAATAAGTGATAAATAAAAACAAGGTTTTGCCAGTGGTTTTAGTGTTCCTATCATTGCCAGATACTGACTTTTGAGGATTTTATTATCACACATAACTATTAAAGAAACTGTGTTCTTTTTACCTCTCTCACAGTTTAGACTTTGAGTCAATAAACTTCCCATAAACAAATTTTTTTAAAAAAATTTTCATTTATTTGAAAGGCAGAGTGACAGAAAGAGCAAGATCCCATTTGCTAGTTTCTACCTTAAATGTCCACAATGGCCAGGGCTAGGCCAAGCCAGGAGCCAGGAGCCAGGAACTCAGTCCAGTTCTTTGACGTGGGTAGCAGGGACCCAAGCATTTGAGCTGTCACTTGCTATCTCCCAGGGTGTACATTAGCAGGAAGCTAGAATCAGGAGCAGAGCATCTGACACGGGATAGGGGTGTCCGAGTTGACATCTTAACCGTCTTGCCAAATGCCCGACCCCCAAAAATCCTTTAAGAAAATGAATCTCGGGGCTGGCACTTGGTGTGTCGAGTAAAGCCGCCACCTGCTGTTCCAGCATCCCATATGGGCGCTGGTTTGAGTCTTGGCTGCTTCACTTCCTATGCAGCTCTCTCCTATGGCCTGGGAAAGCAGTAGAAGATGGCCCAAGTCTTTGGGCCCCTACACCCGCGTGGGAGACCTGGAAGAAGCTCCTGGCTCCTGGCTTCGGGTTGGGGAGTGAACCAGCATATGGAAGACCTCTGTCTCTCTCTGCCTCTGCCTCTCTGTAACTCTGCCTTTTAAATCAATTAATTAATTTAAAAAAAAAAAAGTCTCCCTGTTAGCTTATATACAGTACACGCTCAAAAGTCACTCATTTGATATTTTTTCTTGGATTGGATTCCCCGAGAGAGGTTGTATAGAGAAAACATAAAAATGAGTTTCAGTGAAGGCATGTCTGCTTATCATTTGAGTTTGAAAGCAGAGGACAAAAATAAACCTAAATAAAATCTTAAAATAAAATCTTGTGTTGGATATATCCTGACTCATTATATTATCAAATGATATATTTCTCAAAGCTTGGTTCATAGGTCTTGAGAGATTCTGAGATCTTTTCAGAATGCCCAGGTCAAAACTAATTTTATTATGAGCTGTTATTTGACTTTTTACACTTTGCTAACATTCACATTTAAGGTACAAAGGCAAAGTAAACAAAACTGTTGCCTCTTTGGCATGCAGGTCAATGCAGTGGCACTGAATTGTTCTAGTACTTACTGTGTTCTTCACTGACATGCAGTTGTGTTTTTAAAAACACTGCCATTTGCCCTGAAGAAAGTCTTTGATGAAGCATTAAAACTTGCTTTATTCCTTCTTGACACTTTAATATACATCTTTCTTTCTAATATTCAGTGCAGCAAAATGTGAAATACACTGTGCCGTCTCAAAGAAAACCGTGTGTTTGGTCATTTGAGTTGCAGGCTGAAGTATAACTTTTTAAATGAAATACCCTTTTTTTTTTTTTTAATTTTTGACAGAGTGGACAGTGAGAGAGACAGAGAGAAAGGTCTTCCTTTTGCCATTGGTTCACCCCCCAATGGCCGCCCCGGCCGGTGCGCTGCGGCTGGCGCATCGCGCTGATCCGAAGGCAGGAGCCAGGTGCTTCTCCTGGTCTCCCATGGGGTGCAGGGCCCAAGTACTTGGGCCATCCTCCACTGCACTTCCGGGCCACAGCAGAGAGCTGGCCTGGAAGAAGGGCAACCGGGACAGAATCCGGCACCCCAACTGGGACTAGAACCCGGTGTGCCGGCGCCGCAAGGCGGAGGATTAGCCTATTGAGCCGTGGCGCCGGCGAAATACCATTTTTATTTGAAAGACTGACTAGGATTATTCAGGCTTCGGTATCTCGTAGACATTTTTTCAAAATTATGAAAGTGAGCTTGTCACTTTAAGGAATATAACTGACAGTATTTGTTGCCAAAGATAAAATTCAAGCTTTCAAGTGTAAATTGGAAATTTAGAAAATTTGTATGTGCCACCAGAAGCTTGATAGCTTCCCAATGTTTGATGATTATAGTGATAATATTAACAAATGCAGTTTTTCATATCGAATAATAAAATGTGTAAATATGGAAATCTGCATGAGTCAGTGAATTGGTATTTTCTTATATTTTTAAAAAAATTTTTACTTATTTATTTGAAGGCGAGTTAGAGAGGGAGCAACAGAGAAAGAGGTCTGCCATCTGCTGGTTTACTCCCCAAATGGCCACAACGGCCAGGGCTGGGCCAGACCGGAGCCAGGTGCCAGGAGTTCTTTTAGGTTTCCCACATGGGTGCAGGAGCCCAAGCAATTGAGTCATCTCTGCTGCTTTCCCAGGCACATTAGCAGGGAGCTGGATTAGAAGTGGAGCAGCCAGGACTGGAATCAGTGACCATATCGGATGTTGGCGCTGCCGCAGCGACTGAACTCACTGTGCCACAATAATGGTCGCCCAAAATGGTTTTCCAAATGACCGGCATATTGTTACAGACTCATACATGGGCAAAAGATAAGTAGTAGAGCATTAAAAAAATCCACTGATGTAGTTGCAGATTCTAAATCTTGTAACCCCCCCCCCATCCACATTTTCTGAAAAAAGCTATGTAATTCTCTTTTGAAGTCCATAGCTGCGTGTTGGATTTACTTTAACCAAACCAAAAAGTTGCCCCAGATTGAGACAAGGTATAAGAGATTAGGGGATGATGGACTAGGCCAGAACTGACATACTATGCTTGCCTCGTTCCACTGGCCATGGCTGAGTAATGTGACATCAGTAGACTTCCAGTTCAAGGATCTGGGAAAAGTAGTCTCTAGTTAGACAGTCACTGGTCTCCCCTGTGGAAGAGGAACACAGCTGTCCCCGTAGAACAGCTTCCTCATCAGAGATGGGGAGAAAGTCGCAGCCGTCAGCAGAGTGTTAGTGAGGGAAGGTAGCTAAGCTTTCTTCCGAAAGCCTTGCTGAGGTGACATTTCGAGTAAAGTCAAGGAGACAAAGGAGCAAAACTTGTCAGCATCATGTGAAACTTGTCAGCATCATGTGAAAAATGTCACAGGCAAAATAAATAGGCAGTGTAAAGGCTTCATGGTTGACATTGGGTGACGTGGGTGGGAGGAGGAGTAGAGGATGAGATCAGAGGGGATGGTAGGGACAGTTTATTTGGTCTAGTACACCACTGCAAGAATTTAGACTTTTGCCAAGAGATGAGAAGCCATCGAAGGGTTTTATGCTGAACAGTGTCAGAACCCACTTAAACTTTTGAAAAAAATTTCTATGGTTGCTGGTTGAAGATATACCCTAGAGGGCCAAGAGCAGAATTTGGATGCCAATGCATCAATCTAACTGAAAGGGTGGGCTCCTAGCCTATTGGTTAAGAGGCCCTTGTCCTTTATTGGAGTGCCTGGATTCGATACAGTCTCTGGCTCCTGACTCCAGCTTCCTGCCAGTGTTGATCCTGGGACACAGCAGTGATGGCTCAGCTAACTGGATCCTTGCCACCCAAATGGGAGACCTGGATTGAATTTCTAGCGTCTGGCTTCAGCCCCAGCCAGAGCTTGTTATAGGCATTTGGGGAGTGAACCAACAATTGAGAACTGTCTTCCTTTCTCTCTCTGCTTCTCAAATAAATAACAAAATATTTTTTAAGTTAATAGATATTTTTGAATTTTATTCTATCTTGATTTTTAAAATTTTTATTTTAAGGTACTAGAGAAGGACAGACTCGTCTCATCAGAGATGGGGAGAAAGTTGAAGCCTATCAGTGGAGTGTTAGTGAAGGAAGGTGGATAAAAATTGGTGATGTCGTTGGCTCATCTGGTGCTAATCAGCAAACATCTGGAAAAGTTTTATATGAAGGGAAAGTATGTTGATTTCTTTCTAATTATCATTATCTTAAATCATTAGCCAAGTTAAAGGTTTTCTCAATGCTGATACAGTGTTTTGCGGGGGGTTGTTAAAATTTAGAAATAAATTACTGTAGGAAAATTATCTTTTCCCCCTGTATTGAAAGGATTAACTAAAAGGATATCTTTCCATGTATAGAAAGCTGCATTTGATAAATAAAGTGGGCATTATCTTTTAGTAGTTCCCATACATAAGCAGTTCCCAGCCATTTAGGATTACGAATTCTATGCCACCCTTCATCTAATGCCTTGTGCCTGGCTGTATTTAATTTGATACAACATGATGGACACTGCAGAGCAGTACTTAAATGCCAGCGTGTTTAGGTGAGTAGGGCATAGTAACAGCTGATACTTTTGGCCTTGAGATCAACCAATTGGCAGCCCTCCTTTGGTTCTGGAATTAATATGTGGTCATAATTATCTTCCATTCCACTGCACCCCCCCTCCCCCACTGAAATACTACCTTGCAGCACATGTGAGTGGTCTCTGTTAGTCCTTATTTGCCAGAGAGTTTTTGGCATTGTACATTAAAGCAAGCTTAGTTACTGTAATTATTAAAATGAAAAACACATAATATTTGTTATATATGTATGTATGAGTTAATATGTATTAATATGTATGAAAAGAAATATGTGAAAAGATTAATTAGTAATCTTTTATCTCCTGACTATATTTCTGTTACAGGAATTTGATTATGTTTTCTCAATTGATGTCAATGAAGGTGGACCATCATATAAATTGCCATATAATACCAGTGATGATCCCTGGTTAACCGCATACAACTTCTTGCAGAAGAATGATTTGAATCCTATGTTTTTGGATCAGGTGGCTAAATTTATTATTGATAACACAAAAGGTCAAATGTTGGGACTTGGGAATACCAGTTTTTCAGATCCATTTACAGGTAAATTAATGTTTATATTAGGTCTTATGTACTTTTTTAAAAAATAATTTATTTACTTGAAAGATGTAGTTACAGACAGAGAGAGGTAGAGACAGAGAGCTCTTAATCTGCTGGTTCACTCCCCAAGATCTCCCTTGTGGGTGTAGGAGCCCAAGCAGTTGGGCCATCCTCTCCTGCTTTCCCCAGGCCATCAGCAGGGAGCTGGATCTGAAGTGGAGCAGCCGGGACTTGAACTGGCGCCCATATGGGATGCCAGCACCACAGGCAGATGCTTAACCCACTGTACCACAGCACTAGCCCCAGGTCTTACGTACTTTCATCTATGTTGGTTGATTTTTTTTTAAGTGTTTAAACACCTATTATGAGTAGCTGTTTATATAAAACTCAAGATCTGAAGCAGGCTTTTGCAACGCATTCATATTTTAAGTCAGATTATATCGTAATTCTGTATTTATAGAAGTAAATTGTTCTTTCAGAAATACAGCTACACTATAAATAAAATTAAGCAATTTTAATTCAACCATGTGAAAAAAAGAAACTTGAAAATTCCTTTTTATAGTTTTTCCTTTTTAAAATTATATATTTTAGCACTCTGACCTCAGAATCAGCCCATAAGGCATTCTTGTCTGGCTGAAAAGCCCATGAGAGCAATTCAGGCATGGAGAGCAAAGACACTGGCAAAAAAATGTCCTACATGAAGGATCTCTGTGAGAGAGACCCCGGTGGAAAGAGGTAGCCATAACTTGGCAGCTCATGTCAAGAGCCTTGGGTGATTACTGACATCATAAATAATTATAATAAATAAATAATTGTTAAATTAACAATATGAGTCACTGTATGCTTACTTTCCTTGCAGGACTTCTGTCCTCAATGAATTGTATTATGAGAATTAACTGTAAAACTTGTTCTCAAACAGTTTTTTTTGTGTGTATGTGTGTACAAACTGTTGGGATATTTACTTAGTAGAGTTGGTCTTCTGTATAGAAAGTTAATTGAAAACGAATCTTAATGAGAATGGGACTGGGAATAGGAGAGGGAGGAGGAGCTGGGTGGGAGTTGGGGTGGGAGGGCAGGTATGGTGGGAAGAATCACTATTTTCCGAAAGTTGTACTTATTAAACTTTTACTCATTAAATAAAAGGTTTCTTTGCAGGAAAAATAAGAAAACTATATATTTTGGTACAATTTAGTAACTAGAAATTCCGTTAGTTGTGTGTCATATCTGGGATTGAAATGTGGGTGGTTTTTTATATGTGATTTGCTTTCTACGTATTTATTTTAAGTTAATAAAGTTAGCTCTTTGTATCAGCTTTATCCGAAATGCCTGGGACCAGAAGTGTTTTAGGCTTAAGATTTTTTTTTTTCAGATTCTGGAATAGTTGCAAATATATAATGAGATATACTGGGGAGGGAGCCAAGGCTAAACATGAAATTTATTTATTTTAAAAAATACCATATAGCCGGCGCCGCGGCTCACTAGGCTAATCCTCCGCCTAGCAGCGCCAGCACACCGGGTTCTAGTCCCGGTTGGGGCGCCAGATTCTGTCCCGGTTGCCCCTCTTCCAGGCCAGCTCTCTGCTGTGGCCAGGGAGTGCAGCGGAGGATGGCCCAGGTGCTTGGGCCCTGCACCCCATGGGAGACCAGGAAAAGCACCTGGCTCCTGGCTCCTGCCATCGGATCAGCACAGTGTGCCAGCCGCAGTGCGCCGGCCGCGGCGGCCATTGGAGGGTGAACCAACAGCAAAGGAAGACCTTTCTCTCTGTCTCTCTCTCTCACTGTCCACTCTGCCTGTCAAAAAAAAAAAAAAAATAAAAATAAAAAATAAAAAAAAATACCATATATATATATCCCAAAAGTAATTTTAGGCAATAATTTTAGCACACCTATATTTTGAATATGACTCTTCATAGGAGGTCAGGTGTGAAATTTTCCATTTGTATCGTCATGTTGCTGCTTGAAAAATTTTATATTTTAAAGCACTTTGGATTTTCAGATTAGGGATGCTCAACTTGTATGCGGTATCTAAAATGTTAAAAATAGGGTTAGGTGCTAATATCTTTCTATAAACTATGCATTAGCAACATTAGTCTGAATTCTGGCTTTTAGAATGTGACTTATAATCCAACCAGTATTACTTTGCATTCCAGATCCTGGAAACTGAGGTACAGGAAGAAATAAAATGCCTCCTCTTTTCTTAGGTTACAGGGCCTACTTTAAGTAGGATTTTGCAGTAGATAACTTTAATGTTGATGCTTTCCTGTTGAAATTTCTGACTCTGTTTTGTGCTTGTGCTCTTCCCTATTCTACAAGAACTTCATGTCGCCTTCCTTTCTCAAATCCTTCCTTGGATACTCCATGTATCCAAATTATCTCCTGAGTCACAATTCCCTTGCCCATTCACATAATCTCACCTGTACATTGACAGAACTATCAAATCACTCACTACTGAATGATAAATTATGTATACTTCCAAATATTTGTACTTAACATTAAAAAAAAGAAAAAAAAATTAGGTGCTTAGAACCTGTATTTTTTGTTGGTGTAATCTCACACTACAGGGAAAAAGAGTGGACTCATTGTTGTGTCGTGTAAATTATGTGGGACGAAGGACAGGTGTTAAAGTAGCTAGCTTTACCTGGAAATCTAACAACTGCTTGGCTTGTTTTGCCCTTTCAAGATTCTAACTTCATAAGCATCTTTACAAGTCTTTTTGTGAACAACTTGATTATATTTCCCTAGAGGAACTAACAACACATATATTCGCATACACACCACACGTTTGTAAATGTGTAAATGGCAGTCTGTTTCCTTTGTAACACTCATCCCCTTTGTAATTCTCTTCTCCAGTAGGTTATAAGCTTCAGTGGATACAAGCAATTTTGTTCCCTGCTGGATCCCCAGCACTGAGTGCACTGTTTGACACATGAATTAATGAACCCAGGGCTTCTCAAAAAGATTAACATTTAATGCCTGTGGTTTTGATAGCAGTAGCAACAGCAGGAATTCTCATGAATTTGTAAAGGAACAGGACAGGAATAGATTGTGTGTGATTATTTTTGAGGTCAGAGATCACCTGAAATTCTCTTTTTATGTTTGAATTCATTTTATTTTAATATGCAAGTGCTAGGACTAATATAAAAAAGCATTAAAGTTGGGAAAACAAAACTTGGAGAATCGTTAAAATTTTAGTTTTGTCCTAGGTATAAGATATCTGATTATAATTTCTGTCATGTGACAGCGTTACTATTCTGTTCTTCTCCAAGTTTAGGTTCCTGTAATGTAAGCATGTGCTATTAATGAAATTCAAAATTCAGGAATATTTCAACTTTTCCTGTTTTGCATGCACAGGTGGTGGTCGGTATGTTCCAGGCACTTCAGGATCTTCTAACACACTGCCTACAACAGATCCTTTTACAGGTGCGATATAGTTTTGATTACTACATCATTCTTCACTCAATATATAGCGTTTTGCATTGTATGGCTTTATATTTTGGAGATGTCATCCAGGAATTAATAATTCCCTTATCTGTATTTTCTGTTTTGATGAATCTCCTTTAACTTCTGAATTTCGCTTTTTCCCGGAATACTTTTGTAGACTTCTTCATGACTATTAGATAGCATTTTATTAGTTGGAACTCATCGTTTGCCCCAGTGGTACTTCCTGCCAGGAGAACAGAATAGTTAGCATAGCTTTTAGAGTCAGACAGATGTTGATTCACAATCTGGCTCTACCACCCTACTTGCTGTGCAAAGTTGGCAAGTTACTTAACCTGTCTGAGCCTATTTTTTTTATCTGTGAAATTAGATAATAGGGGAACCCACCAACCAAGACACAGCATGAGTGCTATCACTGGCGAGATGCTACCAATCATGAGCAGAGAAGGAGCCATGTGAGTCTCTAATATTGGATGGAACATTGCATTCAAGAAGTCTGCCCAGGCATATTTTGACTTAGAATGGAAGGAGACATTCCACTCAGCTATCCAAGATTAGTCTTCCTAATCTAAGTTATAAATGGCCTTCTTGAAGCCCTTGAAGTGTCGGTGTATCTCTTCAAACTGAATTTACTTATCAAGGTATGCATGCCTCACCATCAACACTACTGGAAAAAAAAAAAAATGGCCAGAGTTGGACTTTAATGCAGCTGAAGAAATCTATTTTCAGAATGGCTTTGATATCTTTTATGATGCTGTTTTTGGATCTTCAGCCACTGTTCCTGGACAATATATCCAATTTAGAAAGAGATTCATGGCCTGTATGGAATCTGCTAGCAGAGTTAGTACTGTGAGCTATAAAATACCAACTGCAGTCCTTTTTCAGCTCTAGATGGAACCAGTATACCCTAGGTCAGTGTCTTGAAGTTGTGAATTGTTCTTGGTGAGCTTTCTTTTTCCTTTGAATGAATTGGTGGCCCAGATACAAATGGTTGCATCTAGGGCATTTATAACTAGTATACTAAAATCAATAACTAGCACGTTAAATGCTCTGATGGTATGATGTCTCTTAAGGAACTCTTTGATGATGTAATGCTGTTTCAAATGTTAGTAAGGGTCTTGAGTAGGTAAGATGATGACTTTCTCTAAATCAGCAGTTCAGAAACAGTGATGCCTTGAAACTTAGACCAACAGTGTTCCTGAATCTCACTGGCACCTTTTTTTCTGGAGCAGAAAGAACAAAGCTTCAACTATTACCAACAAAATCAAGTGAACTAGGGCTGTCATAACCAGAGCATGTCTTACGTCACACACTGTCAGTAACTCAAAAAATGCAGTGGTTATATAGATAGACCAGATAACATACTAAATGTCCAGGAGAATTATGGTGTCATTAGGATAGCAAAGTATACTTAAAAGGAAGATAGATACCAGCATCTATCATTGTGACATATGAAAATTCAGTGGTATAACATATAATATGTTTAACAAAATACCTGGAATACATTTAAACTATCAATATCTGTTAGTTAATATTACTATAGATGTTGTTCCCCCAATTGTACAAATAGCACTGGGGCCATAAAGTTTTCTCTTCTGGCTTACAACTTATGGTCCATCTTGATTTTTTTTTCTTTTCTTTATTAATTTCTGCAGTTGAAACTTCTGGTGTCTATTAGAATGACTGGGAAGCTTGTTTAAATTGCTTATCCCAAGGTTCTACGCTTAGAGATTCTGAGTTACTGGGTTATTGAGTAGGTTAAAAATATTCATACCCTGATCTGTCACTCAAGGATTCTGGTGAAATGGTCTATTTTTTTTTTAAGATTTATTTATTTAGTTGAAAGAGTTACACGAAGAAAGAAGGAGAGGCAGAGAGAGAGAGAGGTCTTCCTTCCATCCGCTAGTTCACTCCCCAACTGGCTACAGTGGCCGGAGCTGTGCCGATCCTAAGCCAGGAGCCAGGAACTTCTTCTGGATCTCCCATGCAGATGCAGGGGCCCAAGAATTTGGGCCATCTTCCACTGCTTTCCCAGGCCACAGCAGAGAGCAGGATCAGAAGTGGAGCAGCCGGGACTCAAACCAGTGCCCATATGGGAGCCAGCACTGCAGGCAGCGGCTTTACCCACTACACCATAGTGCTGGCCCCAGTGAAATGGTCTTGAGTGTGGTTTGCACTTATGTATGTTTAAAAACTCCCTATGTGTTTATAAAATGGAGCCCTTTAGAGTACCACTAGGTTATGGGTGGACTCTAGGAATCTGAATATTGAATATGACTCTCCTTCAAGAGTCAGAACAATAAAAGCCCTCAAGAGCTTTTAATACCTGAAGTAAACTATTTAGCCTTCCTCTTCTAAAATAATCATGAATTATGGTATCTAATTAATACTTTAATGAATATATGCATCTAAGATGCTTAGCATGTTAGCTTAGTTAGAACTCACCAAATTTACTTACTCTGTGATGATCTTCATTATTTTTATTAATCTTATTTATACCTTTTTTTCTTTTTTTAAGTGTTTGCCTTTTCTGTGTTACACTGGTTATATCAACTTCTAGTTTATAATCTCTGGCTAAAACAAAGCTCATCATTTTTCTTCCCACAGAGGTTGATCCAGAGCTTTGAATATCTAAATTCTACTGTTTCTCTCTATATATCTTCTTTTTGTTTGTTTGTTTCTTTCTATTTTCAATAATATAGCCAAAATTATAATCTCAAATGTGACTGGGCTGTTGTCATAGCATCCCTAAAGCTTACTTAAGTGTTCTCTGAAGGTATTATGCATTAGCTACTAAACCTTTTTCTCTATATTCTATTTATGCTTTTGTAATTTATTAAACTTCTGCAATTATAATGCGTAAGACATAAAATGTTTATTTTGTACCTTGGGAATGAATTTTAAGATAACATTTCTTGGGGACTTACTATATGCCAGGCACTATTCTAAGCATTTTTCTGTATTATGTTTATAGCATATTTAGCATGTAAAGATGCCATTCTGAAGTGTGACTGATAAATAGTTATTCTATGTACAGGAGGAGGAGTTTGTAATCTGTGATTTGCAGTTGCCTTTGCTTACTAGGAGTGTTATTGCATTGTAGGTGCTGGTCGTTATGTGCCAGGTTCTGCAAGTATGGGAACCTCTATGTCTGGAGTTGATCCATTTACTGGTACGTATTTTTCATTTGTTTTTGATTTTTTAAAATTTTTATTTATTTATTTGAGAGGTAGAGTTACAGACAGAGAGACAGAGACTGAGAGAAAGGTCTTCCATCTGCTGGTTCTCTCCTCAGATGGCCGCAATGGCCAGAGCTGAGGTGATCTGAAGCCAGGAGCCTGCAGCTTCTTCCAGGTCTCCCATGTGGGAGCAGGGGCCCAAACACTTGGGCCATCTTCCACTGTTTTTCCAGGCCACAGCGGAGAGCTGGGTCGGAAGAGGAGCAGCTGGGACTTGAACTGGTACCCATATGGGATTCTGGCACTGCAGGTGGAGGGTAGCCTGCTATGCCACCACACCTGCCCCATAGATTTTTTTTTAATATATATTTATTCAGAAATAGTTACAGAGAGAGAGTGAAGCAGCAGATGGAGAATGTCTGTCCCTCTCTTCTGTAACTGACTTTCAAAATAAATGAATAAATCTTTAAAAAATTTTATTGAAACTTTTATTTAATGAAAGATTAAGAACATTTGTGTCATTTTCTTGCCTGAAAACTGTATATAGTAAATCAAGACTATACTTCTTGGGTTGCTTTTTAGAATTGTCTCAGGATTGCCTCATTGCATGCATTAGAATCATCTGAAGCTTTAAAAAAAAAAGTACTTCAACCTCATCCCCACACAAGTTCACTTGGTCTGGTATTCCTCTATGTTGAAGATCTTGGAAAGGGGTGTTTTAGAATCTTCCACAATGATCCTCATATGGAGCCAGGACTGAAAAACTGTTTTAGATATGGGTTTTGTTATGACTCTCCCTTAAGAGTCAGAACAATAAAAGCCCTCAGGTTAAGCTGCCACTTGGTATGCCCACATATCACGTCAGAGTGGTGGTTCCCATCCAGCTTCCTGCGAATGTGCCTCGGAAGGCAGCAGGCAACAACCTGGGTATTTTGACCCCTGCCGTTGAAGTGGGAGAGACCTGGATGGAGTTCCTAGCTCCTAATTCCTGCCTTTGGCCTGGCCCAGTCCCACCTATTGTGGGTTTTTTGGGAGTAAATTAGTGGGGTGGAAGCTTGCTCTCTCTCCTTCTCCCTCTGTCTCTTGCCCTCCTCCAACCTCCCTTTCCCCTCCCTTACTATGCCTTTGAACTAAACAAACGGGCTGGCATTGTGGCATAGCTGGTTAAGCCTTCACCTGCAACATGACACTGGCATTTCATATGGTTACTGGTTCCTGTCCCACTGCTCCAATTCCAATCCACCTCCCTGCTAAAGGCTTGGGAAAAGCAACAGAAGATTGGCCATGTGTTTGGGCCCCTACCATTCACGTGGAAGACCTGGAAGAAGTTCCTAGGCCCTGGTCTTGGCTTTGGCCTGGCCCAGCCTTGGGCATTGCTGCCATTTGGGGAGTGAACCAGTGGATGGAAGCTCACTCTCGTTCTCTCTCACTCTCTCTTTCTCTGTCTCTCCCTCTCTAACTCTGCTTTTTCAAATAACTAAATCTTTTTAAAAATTACATTAGCTTTAAAAATATGAAAACTTGTTTTACTGTATTAAGTCTGGTTTCCTCAGTATCCTCACAAGATCTGTGTTTATTCCAGTCTCTCCTCCTTTGCTGCTTCTTAATGTGTTGAGAATGTTATTCACTGGATTACACACTGTTCTTTTTAACAAGACTCAGAAGAGAATGGGCTTTTAAGGTTTAGGATGGAATATTTGGTCTTGTCTTGAGCAACTAATTTTTTCTTTTATCTTTGGTATTTAGCCTAGAGTATGACACATGTTATTTGTTCTTTAAATATATACAGGTATGTTTTCCTCTGCATTGTCTGCCAGTTAAATGCAGAGCTAAATTTGTGACTCATCTGTTTCAACTTTGACAGATTTCTTGACATGTATTTTCCCTATGTAATTATGATTTTATGTTTTATGTATACAAAAGTATATATTAAAAAGAATTTGAGTAAAATAGGTGATTAAGCATCATAAACTCCCACAAACTATCACTGTACTTAAAAATCAGTTGGCATATGATTTTGAAAGCTATTTTTTAAAGATTTATTTACTTATTTGAAAAGCAGAGTTTACAGAGTGAGAGAGAGAGAGCGGGAGAGAAAGAGAGATCTTCCATTCACTGCTTTACTCCCCAGATGGCTGCAATGGTCTGAAGCCAGGAGCCAGGAGCTTCTTCCCTGTCTCCCATATGGGTGGCAGGGGCTCAAATACTTGAGTTACCTTCTGCTGCTTTCCCAGGCACAAGAGCAAGGCGTTGGATTGGAAGTGGAGCAGTCAGGATTGGAACAGGCATCCATGTGAGATGCCAGTGTCTCAGGTGGCAGCTTTACCTGCTATACCACAACACTGTCTCCAAAAGCTATTTTTTACTTGTAAAAATAGCATTGGTTGGCAGTATTGGAGTATAATACTAATGTAGTAACTAAGATTATGGATTCTTGGAGTAGGCCTTCAGCTTAGTGGTTGAAAGGCCCAGGACCCACATTGGTGTGCCTGGGTTCTATTTTGGCTCCAGCTCCTGACTTTAGCTTCCCACCAAAGCAGGTCCTGAGAGGCAGTGATGATGGCTCACATAATTGAGTTCCATACTGGGGAGCTGGATCGCATTGCCTGTCTCTATGCCTTTCAAATAATTTTTTTTTTTAATTTTTAAAGATTATGGACCCTGAAGTGAGAATCCTTACATTCAACTCTCAGTCTGACTCTGAAGAAGTTACCTGCTGTGTCTGTCTCTTTTTATTTGCAAAATTGAGATAATACCTGCCTCCTTAAGAGTTCATAATTTATGTAAACTTAGAAAATTGATGCAAATCACCACTGTACCTGTTGGAACAAAAGAGACTAAAGTCAGTAGGGCTCCCTTGCATTTTCTAGAATTTAATTTTTAATAGTTGGGGTTATATACTGGAACTTTTTATACTTTAGTACCAACTACTGTATCTTTTACCAGACTAATAAAATAACAGTCTTCAAAGTGGCCTATACTACAGCCCATGGTCTTCTTAACAGTTTGCTCTGCATCCATCCCTTCATTAGAAAACCCTATGATGGGTCCTGTTGACTATTTTCTCTTTCCTTGCATCCTCCTTGCCTTCTACTTACCCACACTAAGTGGTTGCAGTTGCCCATATAGGATGCAGGCAGCAGCTGTACTTGCTACTCCACAATACTGACCCTATCTATAGCATTTATTAAATGAACTCAGTTAAACTTTTCTGAGCACCCACATTGTCCTTTGCTGGATCATTCACTCTATTATAAGCTCTCGTTGCATTCTGTACTTTCCTTCGTAAAACTCTGCATTGTACTTAATTCTTTGGATGATACTTAATTAACATTTGTATCTTCCTTCACACAACTAGAATGTACCAACCAGGTGTGTATATAAAGCTCATCTTTGATCATATCAGTAAATATCCTATGCTTTAGAAATAGTTATTTTTATGGAACCAGCACTGTGGCACAGCAGGTTAATGCCCTGGCCTGAAATGCAGGCATCCCATATGGGTGCTGGTTCTAGTTCTGGCTGCTCCACTTCCGATCCAGCTCTCTGCTATGACCTGGGAAAGCAGTACAAAATGGTTCAAGTCCTTGGGTCCTTGCACCCACTTGGGAGACCCGGAGGAGGCTCCTGGCTCCTGGCTGTGGTTCGGTGCAGCTCTGGCCATTGTGGCCAATTGGGGAGTGAACCATCGGATGGAAGACTTTCTCTCTCTCTCTCTTTGCCTCCTCTCTCTCTGTGTAACTCTGACTTTCAAATAAATAAATAAATATGTAAAAAATAAAAAAAAATTATTTTCTATACTTACTACATTACTTGCTTCATCTTTTATATGTATTATATACTCAGAATATTTAAATCTTTTACTAATATTTTGCAAAAATTTCACATTAAAACAAACATGAAGTTTAAATTAAATTTTGAAATGTAGGCTATAAATTAGATTTAAATTATACTTTACATGAAGTTGTTATATTCATTTAATGTTGCTGAATTTTTTGTTTTGCCAGTTTTTTGTTCAATATAGGATACTAAGTTTCAGTTACTATAATTGAGGCTTAAGGAATACAAAAGACCAGGATCTCCACCCTTTATGAATGTACAAACTGGGGCATTTATAAAGATGATATAGAAAATGATTGGAGAGAATGGCAATGCAAATGCCTATATCATTTGTAGTAAACAATAAAAGACATGAGAAGGGAGAGATCAGATTGTCTTAAAGAAGATGAGAATGGGATGTTTCCTAATTTTTTTGTATCCTTGATCTTTTTAAATTTTAAAAATTTAAAAGAAAAGTAGAAAATATGAAATGGAATGGCTTTGTTCTACATTTAAGCTTCCTTTCCCCAAACCAAAAATTCTTACATCAATAAGTACAAACAACATATAAAAAATGTTATGGATGATTGCTTTTCTTTTTGTTTGAAGTTTGTAGTTACATCATGCACTGAGTAGTTGCATATCTCAGTAATTGTGAAAACAGTCATATAGTTGGAAAAATCTCATTTTTGATCACTCGTAATTTTCATCATTTTCTGTTCTGTAAATAGGGAATAGTGCTTACCGATCAGCTGCACCTAAAGCATTGAATATTTATTTCCCTAAAAAAGAAGCTGTCACTTTTGACCAAGCAAACCCTACACAAATATTAGGTAAGTCTATTTTTTTCTCACTATTTAAGATCTGTTTCTCTTCCTAGTGTGTCAGGAACTATACACTTAACATGCAAAGAGATTTCTATTATGATATTACTTAGCTGTCAACTACAAATACACAATGTGGTAATGGACCCATACTACTTTGTAAGAAAGCCTTTTAGAAATATGTAAATGCTCATGATGCCTTTAATAAGACAGTACCTACAGGGGAAAAAAATCTTAAGTCCCACCTCTCAAAATTCCTGATGTTTTTCTGGAAAAAAAAATGTTTTGGAAAATCAAGGTCTTTCCTTTAATCTTTAAAAAATTAATGGCCCTAGGGCAGGTGTTTGGCTTACTGGTTAAGTTGGCTGTATCCCTATCAGAGCGCCTGCCTTTGATATCTAGCTTCAGCTCCTGACTCTAGCTTCCGCTCCTGACTCCAGCTTCCACTCCTGACTCTAGCTTCTGCTCCTGACTCCAGCTTCCACTCCTGACTCTAGCTTCAGCTCCTGACTCTAGCTTCCGCTCCTGACTCTTGCTTCCGCTCCTGACTCTAGCTTCCGCTCCTGACTCTAGCTTCCTGGTAATCCAGACGCTGGGAGGCAGTGGTGATGATTCAAGTAACTGGGTTCCTGCCACCCAAATGGAAGACCTGGATTGTGTCTATGGCTCCCAGTTTCTACCCAGCCCAGTTCTGGTTGTAGCCGATGTTTGGAGAATGAACCAGTAGATATGAGCTGTCTCTCTACCTCTCAAATTTAGAAAAAGAATGAAAGAATTCTTGACTCTCAGAAATAATAAAACAACATTTAAAATTGCCCTTTAAAAATGAAACTACTCTATTGACTTTGATTGCGTTGTGTTAGCTTTTCTCAGAACAAAATGGCAGGGTTTTGTGTTTTTTTTTTTTGTTTTTTTTTTTTTTGACTAAGGGAAATATTAGGTCTGTTCGCCAAATGATTGTAGGGAGAATTAATTGATGCTTGTCTATAAGGCTGAGTTTTTTTGGTCCCATTATTATCCTTTACGTTGTCTTTATAAAAAATTGATAGCTGTTTTCATTGCTTAATTTTGAACATAAAGAAATATATGTACACTTTAGAATTTTTAAGCTCTCATACAAATGTAAGAGATTTCTTGCGGGTGGCTTAGTGGGTTGGGCCTAGGCCTGTGGCGCCAGTGTGTCCCAACTGCTCTTCTTCTGGTCCAGCTCTCTGCTATGGCCTGGGAAGGCAGTGGAAGATGGCCTGGGTACTTGGGCCCCTGTACCCATGTGGGAAGCCCAGAGGAGGCTCTTGGCTCCTGGCTTTGGATTGGCCTGGCTCTGGCAGTTGCAGCCATTTGGGGAGTGAACCAGCGGTTAGGGCACCTTTCTCTCTGTCTCTCCCTATCTCTCTGGCTGTACCTCTCAAATAAATAAACAAAATCTTTAAAAAAGGTTTCTTTTTTTTTTTTTTTTTTTTGGCTGGCGCCGCAGCTCACTAGGCTAATCCTCCGCCTGCGGCGCCGGCACACCGTGTTCTAGTCCCGGTTGGGGTGCCGGATTCTGTCCTGGTTGCTCCTCTTCCAGGCCAGCGCTCTGCTGTGGCCCAGGAGTGCAGTGGAGGATGGCCCAAGTGCTTGGGCCCTGCACCCCATGGGAGACCAGGAGAAGCACCTGGCTCCTGCTTTCGGATCAGCGCGGTGCACCGGCTGTAGCGCGCCAGCCGCAGTGGCCATTGGAGGGTGAACCAACGGCAAAGGAAGACCTTTCTCTCTGTCTCTCTCTCTCTCTCACTGTCCACTCTGCCTGTCAAAAAAAAAAAAAAAAAAAAAGGTTTCTTTTTTTGCATTCCTTAAATAAGTTTAGTTTTTTTAAGAAAGTTTTTTAATTTTTAATTAATTTTAACAGATTTAGTGTGGTTTATGGATACAGTTCTACGGACATAATGATATTCTCATCTTCCCTCCCTCCATTTCTCTCCCTCTAACCCTCCTTTAAGTTTATTCTTCTATTTGTTACTGTTAAAAGTTTTAATGCCATACAAAACACGTTTCCATTTATGACTGATAAAAATTTGTTTATCTTCCTAAGCTTCTGTGATAGAAATTTGGAGTTTTTAGGCCGGCGCCGCGGCTCAACAGGCTAATCCTCCGCCTAGTGGTGCCGGCACACTGAGTTCTAGTCCCGGTCGGGGCACCAGATTCTGTCCCGGTTGCCCCTCTTCCAGGCCAGCTCTCTGCTGTGGCCCGGGAGTGCAGTGGAGGATGGCCCAAGTGCTTGGGCCCTGCACTTGCATGGGAGACCAGGATAAGTACCTGGCTCCTGCCTTCGGATCAGCGCAGTGCGCCGGCGGAAGCACACCGGCTGCGGTGGCCATTGGAGGGTGAACCAAGGGCAAAAGGAAGACCTTTCTCTCTGTCTCTCTCTCACTGTCCACTCTGCCTGTCAAAAAAAAAAAAAAAAAAATTTGGAGTTTTTTATTCTGTAAATTATTTTTAAACATTTTTAATTTATTTTCATCTGTTTGAAAGGCAGAGCAATAGAGGGAAAAAGAGATTTTCCATCCCCTGGTTCATTTTCCAAATGTCTGCCATGGCCAGGGCTGAGCCAGGCCCAAGCCAAGAGTCTAGAACTTTGTATGGATCTCCCACATGGGTAACGGGCACAGCAACTTGAGCCATCATCTGTTAGGAGGCATTAGCAGAAAGCTAGATTGGAAGTGGAGCAGACGGGACTCAAACGGCACTCAAACATGGAAATTTTGAACTAACAGTGTTACATGACTCAAAGTAGTATCAGTGTTGATAAGAATGTTGATATTAAAGATACATGTGAAAAGTTTGAAGTAAATTGCAAACATGGAAGAAAGATCAATATTTCCATGACATAAACTTAAAAATAATATGCCCAATGTGTATATAAAATTAAGTCAAAATTCAAAATTATCATTAGGCACTTAACTCTGTTTCATTGGTAACAATAGACGCTGACATGAATTGTCTAAAAAATTGCTCCAAATTTTTTTATTGAAAAGTTGATTGTATGTGGGTATATTCAACATGTTGTCGGCTTGAAAACTGTTCAAAATGATAACAACTATGATAAACTTTTAAGATTTATTCAGAGCAGAAAGCTTCCGAAGGTCTTAGAAAATAACAGGTTACAGGAGGGCTATCATTAAAGGTGTCTGCATCCCATCTCACAGTTCCTGGGTTTCATCCCTACCTCTGGCTCTTGCTCCAGCTTCCTGTTAATGTCGACCCTGAGAGGCAGTGATGATGGCTCAAGTGATTGGGTTCCTGCTACCAACTTAGGAGACCTGAATTGTATTCCTAGCTCCTAGGTTTGCCTCCAGCAAACATTTGGAGCAGATGAGAGTTCACATGTATGTTCTTTCTCTCCACCTTTCAAATGAATAAATAAAAATTTAAAAAAAAAATTAGGTACAATAAAAATAATCATGGTAATGTTTCTTCGACTATATTATGCTTAGCTTAAAAATACATACTTCGGGGCCGGCACTGTGGCGCACTATGTTAATCCTCCGCCTGCGGCGCCGGCATCACATATGGCGCCGGTTCTACTCCAGGCTGCTCCTCTTCCAGTCCAGCTCTCTGCTGTGGCCCGGGAGTGCAGTGGAGGATGGCCCAAGTGCTTGGGCCCTGCACCCACATGGGAGACAAGGAAGAGGCACCTGGCTCCTGGCTTCAGATTGGGGCCATTGCAGCCATTTGGGGAGTGAACCAACGGAAGGAAAACCTTTTTCTCTGTCTCTCTCTCTCTGTCTGTAACTGTACCTGTCAAATAAATAAGTAAAATCTTTTAAAAAATCAATAAAAATATATACTTTATTTTATATTCTGTAATAACTGCCCAGAAGTGTCTTCACTCCCCTTCATGTACAATAGAAGACTGTTACTGAAAATGTTATGGCTTATTAGAGTTAGGGAATTTTGAAGGTTTTGTTTTGGGTTCTAGGTAAACTGAAGGAACTTAATGGAACTGCACCGGAAGACAAGAAGTTAACTGAGGATGACTTGGTGCTTCTTGAGAAGATACTGTCTTTAATATGTAACAGTTCTTCAGAAAAACCCACAGCCCAGCAACTTCAGATTTTGTGGAAAGCAGTTAACTGGCCTGAAGGTAAATAAACACTCTTCAAAATGCAGTAAGGAAGGAAGAAGGATGCCTTTCATTTCTATCAATATAACTGGTGTTTCTAGGATAAATAAAAGTTAACCTGGGAATTTCTAATTCACATGGTGAAAAACTTCCCAGAAAGGATTCATTGTACCAGTGTGGTTCATAATCTTGTTTTGGTCCTATAGTTTATGAGGAAACTGAAGGGGCAGATTGAGCACTCCATATCTGAAACTCTTGGGATGAGAAGTGTTTCCAGTTTTGGCATTTTTCAGATTTTGGAATATTTGCATACACTTCACTAGCATGACATTCAAAGTTTTGGATTTTAGAGCATTTCAGATTTTGAATGTTTGGATTAGGGATGTTCAACCTATTATACAGTGATCCCTTAACCTGCACTAGCTTGTATACTGTTTGAAAGGATTTGTGGATCACTTATAATCCATCAAAGAAACTCACTTTGTGACCTATTAATCCTAGGCTATGAACACTGATATAATTTTTTTGTTTTTTGAGTTATTTAAGTGTTTTTTATTCCAAAAACGTCCTTTCCACCATTACTTTTCCTGCCATTGACTAATTGGAAAAAAAAAAAGGTCATTGATTTCTACAAAATGGCCATGTTGTAGGGGTGGGGAGTTGCTTGATATATTCCTCTATCTCTGTTCTGCTGGTGGTGTTAGATTTTGGCTCAGTAGTCGTTAGGTGAAAATTCTCTACAAATGATGCTACTTACTGCTTTTACAGTATGGAGCACACAATATTGGATTTCCCTATTTTTAGTGATTGTTTAGTACATTGATTCAGGTGGTACCTACCTAAGCCCCCCTTGATTACTGACCAACCTGAAGCATCCTGTTATCAGTTGTTAACTGAAATTCTAACTCTTTGATCTTATAGGATTATTATTATTTTTTTTTAATTTCATTTGAGAAGTAGAGTTACAGACAGTGAGAGGGAGAGACCGAGGGAAAGGTCTTCTTTCCATTGGTTTGCTCTCCAAATGGCCACAATGGCCGGAACTGCGCTGATCTGAAGCCAGAAGCCAGGTGCTTCTTCCTGGTCTCCCACGCGGGTGCAGGGGCCCAAGGACCTGGGCCATCTTCCACTGCTCTCCCAGGCCATAGCAGAGAGCCGGATTGGAAGTGGAGCAACCGGGACTAGAACCGGCATCCATATGGGATGCTGGTGGCACTGGAGGCAGAGGATTAACCTACTGAGCCATGGCGCCGGCCCCCTCTTATAGGATTTTTAATAGCAAGGTCTCTACCCAGGGTATTCGGTTCAATTTTGAATACACACTGTCAGGCTATTTGATAACATGAGTGAGTTACCATATTTTTAAAGCATATATATGATCTTATAGCAATAAATCCAGCCTGTATTAGTAAGAAAAAATAATAAATACAAGTATATATTTTTTAAAGCAAGTAGATGATTTTTCACATTTTCTAAAGTAGTCATATGTTAAAATGGTCACTTGTATTATATTAGGAAAATAATGTCCTAAAAAACTGCATAACAGTCATAAGGAATTTTTTGAATTTCATAAGCCTTAATGAATTTTTCTTTTTAATAGATATTGTCTTCCCTGCACTTGATATTCTTCGGCTGTCAATTAAACATCCCAGTGTGAATGAGAATTTCTGCAATGAAAAGGAAGGGGCTCAGTTCAGCAGTCATCTTATCAATCTTCTGAACCCTAAAGGAAAGCCAGCAAACCAGCTGCTCGCTCTCAGAACTTTCTGCAATTGTTTCGCTGGCCAGGCAGGACAGAAGCTCATGATGACCCAGAGGGAATCCCTGATGTCCCGTGCAGTAGAACTGAAATCTGGGAGCAATAAGAACATTCACATTGCTCTGGCTACATTGACCCTGAACTATTCTGTTTGTTTTCATAAAGACCATAACATTGAAGGGAAAGCTCAGTGCTTATCAGTGATTAGCACAATCTTGGAAGTTGTACAAGACCTAGAAGCCACTTTTAGACTTCTTGTGGCTCTTGGGACACTTATCAGTGATGATTCAAATGCTATACAGTTAGCCAAGTCTTTAGGTGTTGATTCTCAAATAAAAAAGTATTCTTCAGTGTCAGAACCAGCTAAAGTAAGTGAATGCTGTAGACTTATCCTGAATTTGCTGTAACAGTGGGGAAAGGGGTGAAAGTTTAAATTGATAATTGTTTTGCTCATATTTTCCATGACTGATTACAAATGATTTAAAAAATACTGTGGATGAAGTAAAATTTCAGATCTTGTAAAGTCCTGGGGAGAGGAAACAGGGCAGAAATAAAATTTTGCACTGATGAACTGTGAGATTTTCCTATGTAATGTAAGTAGATTTTGAAGGTTACAGAAGCAATGTAAGGAAGAGCAATAATTAATAGCACCACAACTACAATGGTATTTCTTCCTTAGCTTGGCTGCTTAGAATATAGTGGATTTACTTTTATAACCTGATTTCATTATTTATGTACAACAAACTGTTCATTATTGACAGTTATCTTTTTTTTTTAAAGATGTATTTATTTATTTCATAGGCAGAGCTACTGAGAGGCAGAGAGAGAGGTCTTCCATCTGCTGGTTCACTCCCCAAATGGCCACAATGGCCAGAGCTGTGCTGATCCAAAGCCAGGAGCCAGGAACTTCCTCTAGGTCTCCCACACAGGTGCAGGGGCCCAAGGACTTAGACCATCTTCTACTGCTTTCCCAGGCCATAGCAGAGAGCTGGATCAGAAGTGGTGCCCATATGGGATGCCAGCACTACAGGTGGCAGCTTTACCCACTATGTCACAGAGCCGGCCCGTTACTCTTTTTTTTTTTTTTTTTTAAGATTTACTTATTTATTTGAAAGGCAAAGTTACAGAGAGAGAGAGAGAGATAATCCACTGGTTCACTCCCTAAATGGCCACAACAGCTGGAGTTGGACCAGTCCAAAGCCAGGAGCCAGGAGCTTCTTCCGGGTCTCCCACATAGGTGCACGGGCCCAAGCACTTGGGCCATCTTCCACATTAGCAGGGAGTGGAGTAGCCTGGACTTGAACTGGTGCCTATATGGGATGCTGGCACTGCACGTGGCAGCTTTACCTGCTGCACCACAGTGCCAGCACTGGCAGTTATCTTTTATCTAATTTCTCCAGTTACTCTCATTGCTGGATTCTTTCAATAGCACTGATACATGTCAAGATCTTCTTTTAGGATGACTACTTTAAATTTTTTTTTAAAAAGTTATGATTATTCATATATTGAAAAGGCATAACAATTTTTTTATTTAAGTCATTTGTAAATAGTATTCTTTGTTTGAATAGTATTTCTTTCTTGGTGGTCACTTTTAGATGAAGAAAAATCAAATAGGAAAGCTGTGTTAGGCCACATCAATTCAGACTGCTGACACCTCAAATTGACTACAATCTTAGGTATAGTTTTTTGTTTTTTTTTTTTTAATTTCACTATTCGGGGTTACTTTCTTTTTCATCCCAGTTTTGATATTTGATTGTTTATTTTGGATCATTTCCATTATTTCAAAGGGGATTTGGAACATGTTGAATTTTACCAGGCAATTGTGCAAGAAAGAACACATAACACTATTATTTGAATGTCTAGAGCCTGCCTGTCATATGAAGATAGTATTTTTGAAATAGTATGGTCCAGGTAATGTACTACACTTTGACATTTGGTCCTCAGAATAAATGACAGATAGAATTATCTGTTTTTAGAAGTAAAAATACTGGAATGAATCATATGAGAAGAAAAGTAAAGTAAAAAATGAGTTAACTACTCAAAATACATGCAATGCTATACTTCCCAGAGATCATCAGATTTGAAGGTAAACATCGTAAGAACTCATTAATTAATGTATTGTGTTGAGATAACCCAGTTTCTCAAAAGAAGTATAACTACTCCTATGTTAAAAATGAGAGAGGGCTTTTCACAAAGAGGACTTTCCCTAAAATAGTGAGCAATGTTTGAAACTTATGGCAGAAAAAACCGTGAGTAGGAGCATTCAATCTAGGTGTAAGCATGCCTGCTGATAGGGTGCCCAAGTGGATTCCCGGCTTCAGTCCCTGATTCCAGCTTTCAGCCAATAAAGATACCGGGAGGCAGCAGTGGTGGCTGAAGTTACTAGGTTCCTGTCACCCACATTAGGTGGCTTGGATTCTGCTCCCTGCTCCTGGTTTCAGCTTGACATAACCCCAGCTAGTGCAGGCATTTGGAGAGTCAACTAGAAGTGGAAGCTGCATGTCTGTCTGTGGCTTTCTGCCTCAAATTAAAAAACAAAGCAAACGAAATCACAAGTTTCCCGACTCAGTGGCCAAATTGCAGTCTAAGAAGAACAGTTCTGCACTAAGGACTGTAAAATGTTTACTATGTTTTACCTGCACTAATTAAATTAAAAGGAAAAAAACAAAACTTTTCTTAAAAAGGCAAGGAAGGAAGGTGGGAGGGAAGGGGAGAGAAAAGGGGAAAGGAAAAAAGAAAAAGAGTACTCTTCCCTAATTGGGTAAGGAAAGGTTCTGATTTATAGAATAACCCATGGGGAAAACTTGGAGTATCCAAAGGGAATGGATAAAATGTTAATATAGGTAATGTACACTTTGCTAAATATTGTGACTTCCTGGTGTGTACCTGGACTCTAAGTGTTCTATTTACTAATCCAGTTAGGTACCTGTGCTTTACTTCTCGAATAGGGATCTTGGGGGGGATTGTGTCAAAGTTAAGTTGACCTCTGTCAACCTGGTTCCATTATAGTACACTGCTTTTTTTTGCAAAACAATGCAATATTTTGAGAAACTGGCTACCTTTAAATAATGGTAGGACATAAAATCTTGATTAATAATGAGTTCACTCTTGAAAAATGAAAGGGGTGCCAAATTGTAAACATTGTTTGCTTCCTTATCTCTATGTAAGTCTTTTTATAACAAGATTTATTATACTATTTCATGTTTATTGAAAAATATTTATAAAATACAATTTAGCAAAAGGGGAAAAGTCACACTTGAGTGGTTTAATGATATTTTAATGATTTTTTCTTTAAACTTTCTTTTGTTATTTTCTGAATATAAACATAATCAACACTCACTGAATAAAAACATGCATCCCTCAATGAAAATTGTTTTTAGGGACATGCATTGTGGCACAGAGGGTTAAGCCTCCACTTGAGGTGCCTGCAGTTCATAATGGAGTATGAGTTTAAGCCCTGGCTGTGCCATTTCCAATTTAGCTCCCTGCTAATGCACCTGGACAGGTGGGGGATGATGGCCACTGCCACCTACTTGGGAGAACTAGGTAAGTTTCTGTGTTAGTCCTGGCTGTTGCAGCTGTTTGGAGAATGAACCAGCAGGTGGAAGATCTCTTTCCCTCGCCCTCTCTTTGTTACTCTGCCTTTCAAATAGATAGATAGAGAGATAGAGAGAGAGAGAGAGAGAGATAAGCCAGCCAGCCAGCCAGCCAGCCGGTGCTGTGTGGGCACAGGTTCATGTCCCAACTGCTCCTCTTCTGATCAGCTCTCTGCTATTGCCTGGGAAAGCAGTGGAGGATAGCCCAAATGCTTGGGCCCCTGCACCGCACGGGAGACCCAGAGGAAGTTCCTGGTACCTGGCTTTGGATCAGCCCAGCTTCTGGCTGTTGAGGCCATTTGGGGCGTGAACCAGCAATGGAAGACATTTCTCTCCGTCCCTCCCTCTCTGTGTCTGTAGCTCTGCTTCTCAAATAATCTTAAAAAAAAAACAATTGCCTCTAATCCCACCATTTAGAGAGAACCATTCGTAACATCTTGTGACATGCTGATATGTAAACATGTGCTTTTATTTTTTAAAAAGGAATTGTATCAGACATGCCATTTGATAACCTGGTTTTTAAACTTAACATACATAGTACATATATCTCCACCTTAATAAATAAAATATCCTATTATCTGCATATACCCATAACCTCTTACCTGCCACCCTTCTAGTTTTTGATACCAAGAAGTGCTATGACAAATCTCTCCCAAGAGTATTAATAGTTCCCTAGGAATACTAGGGCTCTCCAAAAAGCTCATGGACGTTTTATATTATGAACAAAGCTATAAATACATTTCAAAATATTTTTGCACCAAAATAAACATCTAATCCCATTTTCCACAAACCTTCTGGAGTGCCCTTCTACATTTCAAAATGGCATTTGAGGTAATGTACATTTTTTAGACTCATGCATTTCTTTTCTTTTCTTTTGAAAGATTATTTGAAAGGCAGGGTTACAGATAGAGACAGGTGCTCCATCTGTTGGTTCACTCCTCAAATGCCCGCAACTGCTGGAGCTGTGCCAATATGCAGCCAGGAGCCAGGAACTTCTGAGTCTCTCATACAGGTGCAGGGCCCAAGAACTTAGGCCATCTTCTGCTGCTTTCCCAGGCCCTAGCAGAGAGCTGGATTAGAATTGGAGCAGCCGGGACATGAACCGGTACCCACATGGGATTCCAGCACTGCAGGAGGAGGTTTTACCTGCTGTGTCACAGTGCTGGCCCCTGGACTGATGCACGTTGCCTAATCATCTCTAGGGTTCAACTCTTGGGATTAGTGTCCTTCACATTGCATTTAAAACTCCATTGGCTCAGTGATTGTCTCCATTTCTTATCTACTCTCTGGCATTACATTTTGTTGATGAGTATGTTACTATTCTAGCTTTAAAAGTATTTACTTATTTATTTGAAAGATTTACAGAGGGAGACCCAGAAAGTCTTTACCTGCTGTTTCAATCCCCATGTGACTGTCATAGCTAGGATTGAACCAGGGTGAAACCAGGAACAAGCAGTTTCATCCAGGTCTTCCGCAAAGGTGACAGAGGTCCAAGCACTTGGACCATCTTCTGCTACTTTTATCAGACCATTAGTAGTGAGCTGGATCACAAGTGGAGCAGCCGGGACACAAACCGGTGCCCGTATGGCATCTCTGCATTGCAGGCAGTGGCTTTATCTGCTATGCCACAATGACAGTTATGTTTAACAACTAAAGAGCAATGCAATGAAATTTTTAAGCTCACCAAATGATGGGAGAAGCATAGCTAAGACAGGCTTCTTTAGAAAGATGATTCTGGTTTGGGGGCCTGTGCTGTGGCACAGCGGATTAAAGCCCTGGCCTGAAGCGCCAGCATCCCATATAGGCGCCGGTTCTAGCCCTGCTGCTCCTCTTCCATTCCAGCTCTCTCCTATGGACTGAGAAAGCAGTAGAAGACGGCCCAGGTCCTTGGGCCCCTGCTCTTGGCTTCTGGCTTCAGATCGGCACAGCTCCAGTCGTTCTGGCCATCTGGGGAGTGAACCAGTGGATGGAAGACCTCTCTGTCTCTACCTCTCTCTGTAACTCTTTCAAATAAATAAAATAAATCTTAAAAAAAGAGAATTCTGGTTTAAAAGTAGGAAGTGGGTCCTAAACAATTGTCACAATATATCTTATTTTGTGAGGCAATCATATAATGCATAAAGGACAATTTGAAGTATCATGTTTCCAAGACGTCTTAAGAGAAAAATTGCCCACCAGAGATGAGAAAGTGTTACTCAGTCTGGGGTGGGCATTTGATGCAGTGGCTAAGATGCCACTGAGGAGGCTGGTGTTTTGGCATAGTGGATAGATGCCAGTATCCATCTGGGTTTCAGTTTAAGTCCTGGCTGCTCCACTTCTGATCCAGCTACCTAATAATGGCCTGGGAAAGCAATGGAAGATGGCCCAAATGCTTAGGTCTCTGAACCCATGTGGGAAACCCGGATAAAGCTCCTGGCTCCTGGCTTAAGCCTGGCCCAGCCTTGGTCCTTGTGGTCATTGAGAGTGAACCAGCAAATGGAAGACTTCTGTCTCTTTTCCTCTCAAACCCTTTCAAATAAAAAATCTTTATTTAAAAAAAAAAAATGCTACTTGGGACACCTGCATCCCATATCAGAATACTTGATTCAAGTCCCAACTAGTATACTTCAGGTCCAGTTTCATCATAATGCACACTCTGGGAGGCCACAGATGATGGCTTGAGTGCTTGGGGCCCTACCACCCATGTGGGAGGTCCAGATTTGAGTTCCAGGCTCCTGGCTTCAGCTTGACCGAGCTCTGGCTGCTCTGGCCATTTAAGGAGTGAAACAGATAGCACCTCCATGCACACCTTGAAAAGAAAATGTTATCAATCTTTTAAAATAATTTCTAGTGTATTTTTCTCTTGAAAATGTTATGTGGCATATGGGGTGGGAATTGTAGCGCAGCAGATTAAGCCACTGCCTGCAATGCCCTCATCCTATGTGATGAGGGCTATCCTATTTGAGTCCCCTGCTACTCCAATTCTGATCCAGTTCCCTGCTAATGTGCCTGAGAAAGCATCAGGAGATGATGGCCCAAGTGTTTGGGTCTCTGCCTCCTATGTAGACTTAGATGGCATTCCAGACTCCTGGCTTCAGCCTTGTCCAGCCCTGGCCAATGTGCTCATTTGAGAAGTGAACCAGTGGATGGAAGACTTCTCCCTATCTCTCCCTAACTCTTTGTCTTTCAAATAAATAAATAAATCTTTTTAACAAACAAATAATATGTGGTACAGTTACAATTTAAATACCATTTTGGAGACAATAACTTTTACATGATTTTCCCTTTTTTTTTTTTTTAACATTTCACAAAGATTTTTAGCTGGCTATTTCTAGAGCTGCTTTAAGTCCCTCTAATTTTTTTTTTATAGATTTATTTATTTATTTGAAAGGCAGAATTAGAGAGAGAGAGAGAGATACAGAGGTCTTCCATTTGCTGGTTCTCTCCCCAAATGGCCGCAATGGTCAGAGTTGGGCCGATCCGAAGCCAGGAGCCAGGAGCTTCTTTTTGGTCTCCCACCGGGTGCAGGGCCACCTTCTACTGCTTTCCCAGGCCATAGCAGAGAGCTGGATTGGAAGTGGAACTGCTGGGTCTCCAACTAGTGCCTATGTGGGATGCCAGCATTGCAGGGGGTAGCTTTACCAGCTGCACCACAGCGCTGGCCCCAGTCCCTCTAATTTTAACAAAAATGTTCATACATAAAAGTGAAGGAGCGGGGCTATTATTATGGCATAGTGAGTGAAGATGTCACCTGTGACACCTTCATCCCGTAGGAGCACTGGTTTGAGTCCTGGCTATTCCAGTTCGGGTCCAGTTCCCTGCTAATGCACCTGGGAAAATAGTAGAACATGGTCCAAATACTTGGGCCCCTACCACCCATGTGGGAGACCCAGATAGAATTCCAGGCTCCTGGTTTCAGCCAGCCCCAGGTATCGTGACCATTGATGGGAGTGAACCAGTGAATATCTCTTTCTGTGTCTTTTCCTCTCTGTAACTCTGCCTTTCAAATAAATAAGTCCTTAAAAATAAATAGAAATGAAAGGGCAGTCATTTGGGCTAGAAGTTAAGACACTGGTTAGGACGCCCTCATCCCATACTGGAGTGCCTAGGTTTGATATCCTCCAGCTCCTGACCCCAATTTGCTGATGGAGATCGTGGGAGGCAGTATGATAACCCATGTAATGAGGTTCCTGCCATCCACACAGGAGGCCTGCATTGAGTTGCTGCCTCTTGATTTTGGCCCAGCCGTGGCCACTGCAGGTAACTGGGGAGTTAACAAGCGGATGGGATCTCTCTCCCTCTCTCATCTGCACATTGGCTGAGAACTGCTCTAGGCTGGGGTTCATGGTTGTGGCTTAGCTGGGGAAGCTCTGCTCTACTTGTTTCTCATTTGTCCTCTGAGATCAGCGGGTATAAAATTTTCATGGAGATGGTGGAAGAACAAGTGTTACCTACCTGTCCTAATTGCACAAGTTTTGTTTTGTTTTGGTTTTTTTCCCCTGAGACATCACTAGCTGCATATCTGTGAACATCCATACTATGAATTGGAGTTTAATCTGGATGTTGAATGTCCCCCAAAGACTCATGTAAAAGGTTTGGTCCTCAACATTTTATATTCATGTCATTGAGATGGTGGAAGCAATCTAGTTATGGTGTTCTATATGGGGCTTTTCAGAGGTGATTAGATTGGATCAGATCAAGTCATTAGGGAAAAACCTTCATGATTAAATTCTGGTGGTTTTATAAGAGATCACACAGAGGCACACATGCTGTTTCTTGCTAGTAATTCTGTGTCACTTTGGGTTTCTCCCAGCAAGAATGCCGTCACCATATGGTGATTGAGACTTGCCTGATCTTGGACTGTGCACCTCCAGAAACAGAAACCAAAATAAACATGTTTCCTTCATGATTAGCCTGTGTCAGGTATATTTTTTAATAGTAATGAAGAGCTGATGAATAAGACCCACTTAGTCAAAGTCAGTCACATGGCAGAGCCCCTGGGCAGAGGATTATGTTTTTCACCTGTAGCAGGAGAGTGCTACCAAATTTCACGCCAAAGGGTATTATTGATGCAGTGATGGGCGAAGAAGTAGGCTGTTAATGCAATTTACCACAGTGGTGATAGAAAAAGAGCTCTCTGTGGGTTCTGACATTTTTAGCTCAGCACTTAACACACATTTGTGTCTAGCATGTTCCAGGCATTGTATTAGGTGTTGGGACTACATGGATGTATAATGTGTGGCCTGTTTGTGAGAAACAACAGTATATTGTAGAAGTGTTGAGCAAATCTCTGTAGTAAAAAGTAATGGATGCTCTGTAGTGACAGTAGTGGGCTACATAAAGAATTTTAGCAGGAATGAGAATGGAAGTCATTTGGAAAAATTCTAAATAAGTAACATAAGTAGAAGTAAGGTTGCTGAATAGTCTTGAAGGGTTTATTTCTAGGGAACATACATGGTTAGAAAGAAAAAAGCTTTTCAGATCATGGAAGATCTTACATGTTGTATTAGACTTAGTTTGCAAGTGACATGAACCAACTCAGATTAGTTTAACTGGCAGAAAAAGAATTATTGACTCACTGATGGAAAATTAGACATCAGGATTTTCTTATTTTAAATGCAAGTGTCTTGTTGACCTCATTTTCTTAGAAACTGTCACAGGATAGAGAGCAGGACATCTAGGAGATATGAGGTGAATTTCTTCATAGTTCATCACTTAAGATGAAAGACTAAATTCCTCACTTATTATCTCTTTATAAAATCCCAGCCAATTACTGATTGACTTAAGAATTAATGCATGCCTATCCCTGGTGAATCACTGTGATCAGTGCTCACTGGGTTGGTGAAGAGTAGTTACAAAAATGGCATATAGGCTGGCGCCGCGGCTCACTAGGCTAATCCTCCGCCTTGCGGCGCCAGCATACCGGGTTCTAGTCCCGGTCGGGGCACCGGATTCTGTCCCGGTTGCCCCTCTTCCAGGCCAGCTCTCTGCTGTGGCCAGAAGTGCAGTGGAGGATGGCCCAAGTGCTTGGGCCCTGCACCCCATGGGAGACCAGGAGAAGTACCTGGCTCCTGCCATCGGATCAGCGCAGTGCGCCGGCTGCAGCGCGCCGGCCGGGGCGGCCATTGGAGGGTGAACCAATGGCAAAGGAAGACCTTTCTCTCTCTCTCTCACTGTCCACTCTGCCTGTCAAAAAAAAAAAAAAAGGCATATAAATACCAATCTCTACCTGTTCTCCCCTGTACTTGTTTGAGGGCAGAAAAGCTGTCTGCATTTGTTAAAGAGTTTTAAGTACTTCAGAATGTTTACTGCTGGGCTCTTAAGCACTATAAGTTTGAACCACAGGAATCTGTTTAAATAGAACAAAAATAGCATGATGCTGATATTCTTTGATCAATTTCTTTTGGGGGTAGAAAACATCATAAAGAGAGTAACTTTTTCTTCAGCTATTCACTGTTGCATTATTCTAAAAAGTGAAATTAGTGTAAATGGGGAAAAACAAGGAAGTACAAGAGCCCTACTCCTATACAATTCCCTAAAATTAAAAAGAACACAATAATTTGCTAGGGGTTGACATTGAGGTGAAACTACTTTTCCCTAAATTCTCTATTGTTCTAAGTGGTTAAGTCTCCTAAAATTTGCAAACAAATTAAAATGGAGGAGAAATTATACTTTTACTGGGTATATAAACCGACATACATCCAAAAGCACTATCAGTAAGGCAAATATCTGCTATAGGGCTCTGCCTCCCACCCCCTTCAGGTATAAAAAGGAAAACCCACCGCGAGTAGGCCCAGCCGCTCAATTTATAACCTAGGGTCACCCTCCTCAAGTCCGAGAAGCGGTGCGATTGGCCCCGCCACCGCCTCCAGAAATGCCTCACCACGTTCTGCGCCAGCGCCGGAAGTGACGCAAAACCGGCGACGCCAGCGCCAGTCGCCGGCTGCAGGAGGAGGGAATTTTCGGTCGCTCCGGAGACGGAGGGCTTCCCCTGGATGGTTGCAGCAGAGGGATCATGACGGGGAAGAAATCTTCCCGGGAGAAGCGGCGCAAACGTAGCAGTCAGGAAGCAGCCGCGACGGTCGCGGCCCCGGACCTCGTCCCCGCCCTGGGTGGCAGCGGCAGTGGCAGCACCAGCGGCTGCGGGAGCACGAGCGGCTGCGGGAGCGTCAGCTGCTGTGGGAACTCCAGCCTCACTGGCAGTGTCACCGGCGGGGGCAGTGGGAGCAGCGTGGAGCGCAGCGAGCGCCGGAAGCGGAGGAGCACCGACTCATCTTCCAGCGTCTCGGGCTCCGTGCAGCAGGTGCGTGCGCTCCCCTCTCGCCGCTTCCTGGAGCCGCTGCTTTTTTTTATTTTTTATTTTTTTCTTCGAAAAAGGCGGGCTACGGGCGTGATGGGGGGCACCGGCCGGAGTTTCCAACCCGTACTTGAGGTCCATTCTTGTGAGTCCCGTTGAGCGCCCACGCTCCCGTGTCTTTGGACTTAAAGTTTCTGAATCTGCTCACCAGCTAACTTTGTTTTTTTCAAAAAAGCACACTTGGCCCCTTCCATTCCTGTGGTTTCCTCAGTCTCCCGGAAGAGTGTGTACTGGAAGCTGGCCTTGCCTTCAGTGCCCTTGCGAGCCGTTCGCTTTACTTCTCTCTCCGTCTTCTGTTTTTAGTACGTTGTGATGAAGTCCACATTACACATGAGAAAACTGAGGCCGCACGCTTTTCCCCCACAGTCCCAGGGATGAGTAGCTCCTAGACCTGAATCTGGTATCTGACTCCACCAAAAGTATGCTCTGTATGCACCATCAGCCTGCTCAGATAAACCCGTATTAAGATACTTTATAAAACGAATAAATGCATACAATTCATTCAACCCAGAGATAAAGGAAGAGTGTAGAAGGGCCTTTTCATGCTTTCCCATTAACGATTTGATGCACAGTCTCTTTTCATCACTTCTTGTCACATGGCTGAGTTTTAAGATTCTATATGTAAGCTTTATTGTGTCCCCCATTGGATTGGGTAAACCCCTGCGTGGTTGGGATACATTTCTTTCTGTATGTTTTAATTGTTTTATGGTGAGTTCCCTGTATTTTTTATCTTTAGTGATAAGTTGGTGGTTTTTTTTTTTTTTTTTTTTTTTTTTTGACAGGCAGAGTGGACAGTGAGAGAGCGAGACAGAGAGAAAGGTCTTCCTTTGCCATTGGTTCACCCTCCAATGGCCGCTGCGGCCGGAGCGCTGCGGCCTGCGCACCGCGCTGATCCGAAGGCAGGAGCCAGGTGCTTTTCCTGGTCTCCCATGGGGTGCAGGGCCCAAGCACTTGGGCCATCCTCCACTGCAATTCCCTGGCCACAGCAGAGAGCTGGCCTGGAAGAGGGGCAACCGGGACTAGAACCCGGTGTGCCAGCGCCGCAAGGCGGAGGATTAGCCTAGTGAGCCGCTGCGCTGGCCTAGTGATAAGTTTTTAATTCTTACTACACACAATACAAAACTGACACCTTTGTACATATAGCTTTATGTAAGATAATTTAGGGTAGAATCTAAGGAGTGACATTACTGGGTCAAAATGTGTGCGGTTTAAAAAAACTTGGTAGGTGCCACAAAATGCCTTTCATGTAAGATTTCATCGATTTATAGTTCAAGTGGTGTATGAGGATATTCATTTCTACCAGTCTTTGCTAACTTTCAAAGTCCATGTTATAAAGATTTGCCAAACTAACGAGTCAACTTAATGCTGCAGTTGCTTTAATTTATATTTTCCTGATTAATGGTGAGGTTGAACATTTTTACATTTTTATTTGCCATTTGATTCCTTATGTAATATGTACATATCTTCTGCTTGTTTTTCTCTTTGATTGTTTTCATTTTATTACTGGTAAGTTCTCAGTATTTTTACACAAAGTCTTGATTCTAAACCTTTGTGTGGTGTATACTACAAATGTTATTATAATTTTGTTCAGTGTGTACTGAACCTAGTCATTTCTTTGTAGTCAAAACTCATGTCTCTTTTTGCCTTCTAGATTTTGTTCTATAGAACGATCTTTCCTACTCAGGAGTATAAAACTAATCTGTATTGTAGTGTTTTTTTAACATGACATCTTTAAATTGGGAGTTATGTAGGCATAGGTGATTTATGTTTATGTATTTTCTTGTGTCTAGCCACACACAGCCAAACAAAACTAATTTGTTATTTAGAATTTTTTTCTCCAAAAAAATTTCTGCTAACAATGAATTTTATCTCTTCCTTTTAGCATTGAAATTTTTTTTGTCATTTTTGCAGCATTTCCCCAATTCTTTTTTTTTTTTTTTGGATTTTTGGTAACATTTCTGATGTACTGCCAATGAATATATTTGTCATGGTTTGATAGATAGATTTCATCAGGTTAGGAAAATTTTCTTCAACTCCTAGTTCACTTGGGCTTGTAGAATTTTATCAGATGGTTTCTGGTTTTCTGTTGGTAAAATAACAGTTTTTCTCCTTTAATCAGATAATGTAATTTGTTTTAAAGGAGATGCCAATTTATTATTTTTAAAAATATTTTATTTATTATTTATTTGGGAGGTAGAGTTACAGACAGTAAGAGGGAGAGACAGAGAGAAAGGTCTTCCATCCACTGATTCACTCCCCAAATGGCCGTAATGGCTAGACCTGAGGTGATCCAAAGTCAGGAGCTACGAGCTTCTTCCAGGTCTCCCACATGGGTGCAGATGCCAAAGCATTTGGGCCATCTTCTGCTTTTCCCAGGCCATAGTGGAGGGCTGAATAGGAAGAGGAGTAGCAAGAATTAGAACTGGTGTCCATTTGCACCGCAGGTGGAGGATTAACCTACTGAGCCATAGCGCTGGCCCCTAGGTAATTTAATTTTAAAAATTATTTATTTATTTGAGAGGTAGAGAGAAAGACACATGGAATCAGGTCCTATCCATGATTCACTCCACTAATGCCTGAAAGAATTGGGACTAGGTCAGGTGAAAACTGGGAGCCAAACACTCAGTCCTAGTCAGGAACCCAACTACTTAAGCCATCACCTGCCACCTCCTAGAGTGTGTCAGCAGGAAGCTGAGATGAGAGTGGAGCCCAAACTTGAACATAGGCACTCCAGTATTGGAAGTGGGCATTCCAACCAGTGGCCTAACTTGCTGCACCATAACACCTGACCCAAGTTTCCTGTATTTTCCTAAGAGCTTTATTGAAATATAGTTGGCTTGTCATGACAGTTTATCCATTTCAACTGTATAATTCCTTGGTTTCTGGTATATTTACAGAATTGTGAATCATCTCCACACTCACTTTTAAAATATTTTCATCTCCAAAAATTGCTGTAATCCCTACTACCTCTACCCTGCTCTATCCCTAGGTAACTGCTAATTTACTTCCTAATCCTATAAACTTTCAGATTTCCCTGTTCTGGACATTGTTTTTGAAAGCCAGAGCTACAGAGAGAGAGAGAGAGAGAGAGAGAGAGAGAGAGATCTTCCATCCGCTGATTAACTCTTTCAAATGGTCACAACAGCTGGAGTTGAGCCAATTCAAAGCAAGGAGCCAGGAGCTTCTTCCAGGTCTTCCACGTGGATGCAGGGGCCCATGCACTTGGGCCAACTCTGCTTCTTTCCCAGGTGCATCAGCAGGGTTTGGAAGTGGAGCAGCCGGATTGGAACTGGCAACCATATGGGCTGCAAGAAGCAGCTTTACCCACTACACCACAGCACCGGCCCGTGTTCTGGACAACTTATATGAATGGAATCATATAATGCCTGGAATTCTGTGTCTGACTTTCTCATTTAACATAGTATTTTCAAGGTTTATCTTAGCTGTAGCACATAGGCTCATTTCTTTGTAGCACAAAGTTTCTTTCCTTTCTCTGGCTGAATAATATTTCATTGTTAGGCTATACCACATTTTGTTTTCCCACTTATCATTTAGTGGACATCTGGGTTGTTTCTGCCTTCTGGCTATTATGAACAATGCTGCTGTGAATATTTATATACAAATTGGGTACAGACTGTTAACATTTCTCTTGGGTATGCATCTGAGAATGGGGTGCTGGACTATATGGTAACTTCATAAATTTGTATTTCTTCTAGCAGTGTTATGAGGATTCTACTTTCAGTCTAATTATCATAGTATTCTATGCAATTTCCTAAACTAATTTTTAATTGATTCCATCAGAAGATAAAACATAGATCTACTGGGGACCAGCACTTTGGCGTAGCAGGTAAAGATGCTGCTTGCAGTTCCAGCATCTTATATGGGGGCCAATTTGAGTTCCGGCTGCTCCACTTCTGATCCAGCTCTCTGCTATGGCCTGGAAAAGCAGTAGAGGATGGCCCAGGTCCTTGGGCCCCTGCACCTGACATGGGAGACCTGGAAGAAGCTCCTGGTTCCTGGCTTCGGATTGGTTCAGCTCTGGCCGTTGTGGCCCACGGGGAAGTGAACCAACAAATGGCAGACCTCTCTCTCTCTTTGCCTCTCCTTCTCGCTCTGTCACTCTGACTTTCAAATAAATAATATTTTTTTAAAAATAGATCTACTTGATCTGTGTGATCAGGGAAAATTTTCTGAGGGAATGAGTTGAATTGATACCTGTGGTATTTGAATTTTTTAATCTTGTGAGTACAGAGTGATGTTAGTATGTACAGAAACCCTGCATCTTTGAGCTGAAGGAAGAACAGATTACATTTGAGTAATTCAAAGAAGGTTGTTGTTTCTAGAACACAGACAATGAACATGAAGAACCAGGTAGGCCATGTTACCCCCAAGAAGACCAAGGGGAACCCACTGAAGGGTTTTAAACAAGAAGGATGAGTAAGTATACATTTAATAAAATTTATCTGCCAACTGAATATAAAACAGAGACCTCAGTTTAGATACAGGGAGTCAGGCTAAATGGTTGTTGATATAAGCGAGGCAAAGGATCATAGAAGTTTGGACCAGGGTTATTACAGTACATTTGGAGAGCTTAGACATGATTTGGGAATTAGAAGTTAAGTTGACAGACACAAGGTAATGGATCATGGGCAGTTAGACTGGAGCCTGGTATAAAAACTGAAACTGGAAAGTTAAGCCTCCCGCCTGCATTGCCAGCATCCCATATGGGCACCGGTTTGAGTCTTGGTTGCTCCACTTTCTGTCTAGACCCTTGAGAAGGCAGTAAAAGATGGCCCAAGCATTTGGGCCCCTGCACCCACATGGGAGACCTGGAACAAGCTCCAGGTTTCTGGCTTCAGCATGGCCAAGCCTCGGCTGTTGCAACCGTTTGGGGAGTGAAAAGTGGATGGAAGATATCTCTGTCTGTCAGTGAGTTTAAGTAGTAGTAGAGTTTAAGTTAAGAAGAGAGTTTAAGTAGAATGACAATAACTATATAAACTACCTGGAGGAATATCCTAATTCTTTGAAATCTAAATTGCAGGAAATTGTGTAATATTGAGTATACCTTCATTTGCATGTACTAGAATATTATCTCTTCCCTTTATAGCTACTCCTTAAAATAATTGAAGTGTAACAAGTAAAATTAAAGGATACTGAAAAATTAAATACTCTTTACTATGGTTTTAGTTAAATAATTATGTAAATAATTGGAAATATTTAAAGAGGTATTTAGTAAATGTAACTATATGATGTCATATACATATTCTATATAGACATGTTTTCAGTAGTACTGTGTAATGATTCCTTTTTCTTTTACTTTTAGGAGAACAAATGTCTTTTGCCAACTTTGGAAAAAGAATTACTCTTAGCAGAACACAGTGATCTTGAAGAAGGTGGAATGGACCTGACTGTATCATTAAAACCAGTTAGTTTCTATATATCAGATAAAAAAGAAATGCTGCAACAATGCTTCTGTATTATAGGAGAGAAGAAATTGCAGAAGATGCTTCCTGATGTGTTAAAGGTACTTCATAACTATGTATACGATCACTATGAGGGGGCTTCAGAAAGTTCATGGAAAATTCATATCCATTTAATTTCATTTTCCATAAATTTTTTGAAGCTCTCATGTGCCCGGAAATGCAACCTTCTGTATAACAACTGTTTTACTTAATGCGGTGTATAATTGGATGTTTTCATGTAAAACACGAGACTTGAAAATATATTCTAAAGGGATTTTGAAAAATCTTCTATGGGTTTGTATATTTAAAAATTTGCCTAGAAAAAATGTTTAGGCAAGAAGTGTATTCTATTAAATGCTGGCAATTATAGTAGCTGAATAGGAGGTGAAATGAATCTTTCTGGTATTTTAAGAAGTAATATAGTGGCCGATGCTGTGGCATAGCAGGTAAAGCTGCCACCTGTGACACTGGCATCTGGTTCGAGTCCTGGCTGTTCTGCTTCCCATCCATCTCCCTGCTAATGTGCCTGAGAAAAAATTGAAAGATGGCTCAAGTACTTAGGGCCCCTGCACCCATGTAGGAGACCTGGAAGAAGCTCCTGGCACCTGGCTTTGGACTGGCCCAGCTCTGGGCATTGTGGCCATTTGAGGAGTAAACCAATAGATAAAAGATCTCTCTCTCTCTCTCTCTCTCTGCGCCTCTCTCTCTGTATCTCTAATTCTTCTTTTCAAATAAATAAATAAATCTTGTAAAAAAAAAAAAAGAAAATATAATCACTGCATGTGCAGTGATGGTTGGTAACAGCTTATATCAGGGTCTTCAGAAAGTTGTTGGAAAATAGGATGAAAACATAAAGTGCATTTTCTTTGAACTTTTTAAAGTACCCTTATATTTCATTAAATTCACAAAGGTTTCTATATACTTATTTCTGAAAATTATGAGTATTTGGGAAATATATTCTTCTAGTTTTATGGTGCTGGAAGTAGGCCTTTGACATGTTAGGCCCCAGATCATATACCTGAAATGTGTGGAGCTAGAGGTTAAATTATAGAAACTTTAGAAAAATTACTTAAAAAAAAGCTACAATTAAGAATATCTGGGAAACCAATTGACTTTCTAGTTTATTCTTTTATCAGAAACATGACTATATATTTTCCCATCAAATCTCTAAAATGGTCATATGTTAACTGTAGTTTTTCAGATTTCCTCCTATGGAAAGATGTATGTGAATCTAACTGAAGCTTTAGTTTGTTTGATAAGATTTACTTAACTGAAATTTTTCTTGTGATTATCATTTTCTAATTTATATTGAAGCTCTATTACATAAATGCATTTTTAAATATGTCATTTTCTTTAGAACTGTTCAATAGAAGAAATTAAAAAGCTATGCCAAGAACAGTTGGAGCTGCTGTCTGAAAAAAAAATCCTGAAGATTCTTGAAGGTAAGAATACATGTTCCTGTATTTTGGTAGCTTTCTAGTTAATGTAGTCAGCATTTATCTTGAGATATTTTTTCTATTTGGATGTTACTTTGATTTCATTATTTGGGTAATCATTGAAGAGTATCTTTACTTCTCTTTGTACTGAGAAATATAGTTTATGTATCAGAATAACATTTTAAAAATAGATTTGACATATAGTTTTCCAAGTCAAATGTATAGATAAGAGCATAAGTTAATATGCTTTAATATATTTACAAAATAAAAATTGAGAAGGGAAAGATTTTTCTTAAAATAATTTTTGAATTTTCTGCTTGTATTCTTTATAGCAGTTAGTTACCAACTGCATACTGTTTCTGCTCTGTTAAGATTCTGATGCAGAGTTAGAGGAACACCTTGCAATTTGCTGATATTTCTATGTCCACCTGAAGTGTGATTACTGTTTGTGATACTGGTATTTCTAGACTCTTGGATTTTCAGACTTCTTTTTTGTCTTTTGGAACTTTGCAAGGATTTTAATGTTTGCAGTCTGCTAGAAGAAACAGAAAATGGAGATTTTTTTATTCTCAGAGCTAACTTTTAAAAATGTAAAATTGTTCAGTGGAATTTTGTAACTCTTGAAATACACGTATACAAATGTATGTAGTCCATAAGTATGTATACACACATTCTAAAAAGAAGACAATGAAAAATACCCAAAGATGCATTGAAAATAACATTTTTTTAGAGCTTTATTTTATTTATTTGAAAGACAGAGTTAGAGAGAGAGGTAGAGACAGAGATAGAGGTCTTTCATCCGCTGGTTCACTCCCCAGATGGCCGCAAATGCTGCGCTGATGCAAAGCCAGGAGCCAAGAGCTTCTTCAAGGTCTCCCATGTGGGTGCAGGGGCCCCAGGACTTGGGTCATCTTCTACTGTTTTCCCAGGCCATAGCAGAGAGCTGAATCGGAAGAGAAGCAGCCGGGACTAGAAACAGTGCCCATATGGGATGCAGGCGCTTCAGACCAGGGCTTTAACCTTCTGCGCCACAGCACCAGCCCCGAAGATAACATTATTTTAAGTGTAGGCATTTTTTTTTTTTTTTTTTTGACAGGCAGAGTTAGAGAGAGAGAAAGAGAGAAAGAGAAAGAAAGGCCTTCCTTCCGTTGGTTCACCCCCCAAATGGTGCTTCCTCCTGGTCTCCCATGCGGGTGCAGGGCCCAAGCACTTGGGCCAACCTTCACTGCCTTCCCGGGCCACAGTAGAGAGCTGGACTGGAAGAGGAGCAACTGGGACAGAATCCGGGGTGCTGGCGCCGCAGGCGGAGGATTAGCTAAGTGAGCCGCGGCGCCGGCCGGCATTTTGTTTTTTAGTTATAAAGTTCTTTAATCTTTTAAAGATGACTTTCTTCTGTAGTGATTAAATCAGTAGTCTTTTTTTATTTATCAGGTGAAACTGGTATGGACTCTGATATGGAAGAGGCAGCAGATGATGGCTCTAAAATGGGATCTGATTTAGCCAATCAGTAAGTAAAAAAAACTTAAATTTTGATTTCAAAATTTCTTTATTCCTTTGGAGATTTCTTATATCAAGTATATAATTTTTTGTGTTTATGTAAAATAATACAACAGTTTAGAAGGATTGAATTGCTTACTTAAAATGCTTAGTCCTTTTGGTGTGTATAGTATGGAGTTGATTGTTTTCATGATTAAGGTGATTTTCTTAAACTGCTATATATATAGATTCAGAATAATGGCAGTGCCAGCCTGAATCAGAGTCACAGCTTTCTTTTGCATTTGGAATATACTGTTCATGATACCCATTGTTTCTTTTTAAAGATTTATTTATTTACTTGAAAGTCAGTTACACAGGGAGAGAAGGAGAGGCAGAGAGAGAGAGATCTTCCATCCACTGGTTCACTCCCCAGTTGGGCACAGTGGCCAGAGCTGCATTGATCCGAAGCCAGGAGCCAGGTGCTTCTTCTAGGTCTCCTACGTGGGTGCAGGGGCCCAAGGACTTGGGCCATCTTCTAGTGCTTTCCCAGGCCATAGCAGAGAGCTGGATCTGGAGCAGCCAGGACTCGAACTGGCACTCATATGGGATGCCGGCACTGGAGGTGGTGGCCTTATCGGCTACTCCACAGCGTCGGCCCCATCAGTAGACTTTTGATCATCACTTTCATCTTGCTTAATACTGTCATAAGATGATTTATACCTTGCCTTAGAGGAAAAAGTGTACATTTTAGTAAGTCTTATTACTGGCTTTCCTTCAAAACATTAAATATGTATTATACTTAATGTGCTGATCAACTTAAGCTGGTTTACACATTTGCAAGGCCTTTTATTTTTTAGTACTTATGAATTTATTGTTCTCTAAATTAATAATTTTTTTCTTAATGCTGCTTAGAGAAAATCTTGAATTAAACATTTGCTTGATTACATTTGTTTCCCCTTTTTTCAAATCAGTTTTTTTCTAGTATTTGAAGTAGTGTTAAGTACTGTATTTTTTCACACCTGAGTACTAGTGCTACCTTTTCTACTGTTGGAAGCCATTTAATGGATACTGAGAATACAAATTCTTTAAAAATTACAACAGAAACAATGTTTGTATTCTGACCTGTGGTGATAAAAAAAAAATGGCAAATATATTTAAAGTGACTGTTGTGAAGAAACTACTTTTATAATGTGGATGTAAAACAGACACATTAACTTTTTAATGTGACTGTGAGGGCATTGAATAAACACAAATACAGGTAGAGCTTTCCTAATCTGAAAGCCTGAAATCAGAAACTTTTTGAGCATCAACGTGTTACTCAAAAAGTTTTGGATTTTGGAACATTTCAGATTTTGGGTCTTTGGAGTTGGAATGCTCTACTGGTAAAGTCTATGCACATTTAACAAAATCTGCAAAATCCTCTTAATCTGAAATACTTCTGGACCCAAGCATTTCAGGAAAGGGATACTCAAGTCAACTTGTATTACCAAAAATTATCAGAATAGCTTCCTGTGGAGCTAAGTGCCAGATCGTTGAGATCCTTTTAAATTATTTGAGGCTAGAAGCTTTTACTTTTATTTTTGAAAAACAAAATCAATTTTTTAAGCTAAAGGATGCCAAATAAATAATAATATTAGTATTACTGAGCATTGTGTGCAGACACTGTTCTACTCACTTTTATGTACTTTCATTCATTCATTCGGTTTGTTCAACAACCTTGTGAGTTAGGTATTAACAGTATTTTAAGATGGTAAAATTAAGCTCAGAGAGATTTGGGTGACTGATATTACACAAGTGCTTATGAAAGTTAGAGGCAGTGTTTGTTATGAAAGACTGTATAGGCTTTTGTGCAAATGAAACTGCTTTGGAATCTCTGAAACATTTACCATTCTTTTTTTTAAGATTTACTTATTTATTTGAAAGGCAGAGTTAGAGAGAGGCAGAGGCAGAGAAAGATCTTCTATCTGCTGGTTCACTCCCAGATGGTCACAATGACCAGAGCTGTGCTGATGATCCAAAGCCAGGAACCAGGAGCTTCTTCCAGGTCTCCAATGCAGGTGCAGGGGCTCAAGGACTTGGGCCACTTTCCACTGTTTCCCAGGCCATAGCAGAGAGGTGGATTGGAAGTGGAGCAGCCAGGACTCAAACCAGCACCCATATGGGATGCTGACACTGCAGGTGGCGCTTTACCCACTATGCCACAGCACTGGCCCCTGAAACATTTAACTTAATAAAACATGATTTTATTCATTTGTGAAATGAAGATAATTCTTGCTTCATAGGATTAGGGGAACTAAGTAACTTAATGTTCCTAGTTTGGTACTAATAATAGTGCTAATTGTGAATGGGTGAGACGTACTGCAGTGTGAAACAAGGAAGATGGGAGAGGGATAATGAGGGAAGATTTTTGGCTTTTACCCATGATCCTGATTTTTCATTTCTTCTACTTCTGCAGCAATAGAATAACCTAAGTGAGCTAACTGGTGAAGCCAAGAGAGGGAGTGTTAGGTGTAAGTGATCTTCAGATACACAGGAGAGAATGCAGGTCGGGAACATTATTACTTTTGATACAGAGTACAATCTGAGATGTGGGTAAAGGCAATGATTTGCTTCTTCTCAAAGCCTTAGGAGGCTGTGAAAGAGGACTTAAAAACTTCTTTCCTGTCCCACAACAGAAGATTGAGTTTATTAGCAGCTTGGTGTGTGGGCTTAACATTCTCATGTCTTGCATAGCCCATTTTTTAAAATATTTTTTTAAAGATTTATTTATTTATTTGGAAGGCAGAGTTAGAGAGAGGCAGAGGCAGAGAGAGAGAGAGAGAGAGAGTTTTTCCATCTGCTGGTTCACTCCCCAAATGGCCACAATGACTGGAGCTGGGCCAATCTGAAGCCCAGAGCCAGGAATTTCTTCCAGGTCTCCCATGTGGGTTGGGCAGGGGTCCAAGCACTTGGGCCATTTTCTACTGCTTCCCAGGCCATAGCAGAGAACGGTATCAGAAGTGGAACAGCTGGGTCTCGAATCAGTGCCCATATGGGATGCCAGCATTGCAGGCAGTTGCTTTACTCCCTATGCCACAGCTCTGGCCCCTATTTTTTTTTTTTATTCTAATAAATGCCAATAGTCTGATCTGTCTGGATGCTGGAAGAAAAGTCAATCATGAATAGGCTGGCGCCACGGCTCAATAGGCTAATCCTCTGCCTGCGGCGCCCGCACACTGGGTTCTAGTCCTGGTCGGGGAGCCGGATTCTGTCCCAGTTGCCCCTCTTCCAGGCCAGCTCTCTGCTATGGCCCGGAAGTGTAGAGGAGGATGGCCCAAGTGCTTGGGCCCTGCACCCGCATGGGAGACCAGGAGAAGCACCTGGCTTCTGGCTTTGGATCAGTGTGATGCGCCGTCCACTGCACGCCAGCCGTGGTGGCCATTGGAGGGTGAACCAACGGTAAAGGAAGACCTTTCTGTCTCACTGTCCACTTTGTCAAAAAAAAAAAAAAGTCAATCATGAATAAGCAAAAATTAGTGGAAGAAATACAGTAACATGAGAGTAAAATACAACTGAATAACTAGAATTGGAAGCTTCTGTTGAGCACAGTAAGGAAAATTTAACATTAGAGCTCAATTATTTCTGGAACTAAAAAGTTCTAAATCTCTAAAGCCAGACTGAATCTTTATCCTGAAAAATCAAGTTGAATAAACAAACATGTAACAGTGCAGAGAGTAACTTAAAAACAAAATGAATCCTTATGTGTAACTCATGGGAACCTAGAAGACAGTTGTAGAAAACCTATCATGCATGTACTAGGAATTGTAGAAAAAGCTAGAAGAATAGTGAAGGAAACTGGTCTTAAGACCATAAGGCAGGAATAAAGTAAAAACAAAGAGGCTCCTGGCTTCGGATCAGAGCAGCTCCAGCCATTGTGGCCATCTGGGGAGTGAACCAGTGGATGGAAGACCTCTCTCTCTCTGTCTCTACCTCTCTCTGTAACTCTGTCTTTCAAAAAAAATAAAAGTCAATATGGGGGTGGGGCAACGCCATGGTGTAGAGGGTAAAGCTGCCACCTGCAGTGCTGGCATCCCATATGGGCACCGGTTCAAGTCCTGGCTGCTGCACTTCCTATCCAGCTCTCTGCTATGGCCTGGGAAAACAGTAGAAGATGGCACATGTCCTTGGGCCCTTGCACCCGTGTGGGAGACCTGGAAGAAGTTCCTGGCTCCTGGCTTCGAATTGGCGCAGCTTCGACTGTAGTGGCTATCTGGTGGGGAACCAGCAGATGGAACACCTCTGTCTTTCTCTGCCTCTGCCTCTCTGTAACTCTGCTTTTCAAATAAATAATAATAAATAAATCTTTTTTTTAAAAGTCAATATATGTAATGCATTTACAGATGATAGAACATTCAATAAGTGCCAATTGTTACTTATATTTTATTCCTGTTTTTTAAAACAGGACCTGGCAATTGGTCTGCTAGGTAAGATGCCCATGCCTCTTATTGGAAGGTTTCAGTTCCTGTAATACTCAACTGTAGCTTCTGACTTCACCTTCATGCTGTTGTAGACCCTTGGAAGCAGAAGGTGATGGATCAACTGGGTTGCTGCCACTTACCTAAGAGACCTGGGTTGAGTTCTTGGCTCTTGGCCATGGTCTAGTCTTGGCCTTGGGCAATAAACCAGTGGATAGGAAGCTCCTTCTTTCTGTCTGTGTCTGCCTCTCAAATAAATAAGTGAAATTGAAATAGTCCAGGCCCAAGGAAAGGATGAAGAGATCTTAAATATATTTTATGATATCTCTATAATTTTGTTAAATAAATATATAGGAGGCCATCATTTTGGACTAAACTGCACAGAACTGGCTAAAAACCAAAATGGACTCATACTAAGAGTCAACATTACCACCTTGAAACTAGGCTTATCAGACTTTCTGAGAAGTCAGGATTGGAGACATTACTGGCAGATTTCTCCAGTAGCCGGTTGGAATCATCATCATAATGAAGTTCCGTGTCTTAATCCTTATGCTGAAGTAACTAATATTAACCAATT